CGTTATTCGCTACTCAGCCTTGTGGAACAGACTGCCAGTAAACCTCTGTTGCAGTGAAACTACAACCCGGTTCAGAAGTCTCCTTGATGATTTTCTTTCCGAAAGTGGATTATGTTACCTATTGAATATCAATGTATTCAATAATGACTTATACAAACAAGGTCCGTCATCCATTTAATTGCCTGAAAAGCAAAATAAAACCTTTAAATCTTTTCACGTCTATCTTGTTTTATTTCTCATTATCTTAATATATGAAATCTGCTTATGTTGTGTTTATCATTATTACCGTTATTAATAACATTATTAGTTCCCTGACACATTAGACATTCTTTTTATCTCTTCTTATCCTTCTAAACATATTTAATTTGTGATTGTCCTTTGAAATTAATTGTGACTTTCATAGCATCATTCTTAATTACTGTTGCACAAATGGTAATACTAATATCAGGTTTTACTCTGTATACTATTACATAAATCTAAATGTATTCATCTGAGTGCACCATAGAATTCTTATTTTATTTTTCTCAATTGCTGGTTTACTCCTGAGGTTGATATTCACTACACAATTATTATTATTATCATGGTTGAACCTTTTCACTAGGTGTCCACTTCTTTGCTCTCTCTTTTTTCCTTCTAAATAAATATTATTCTTAAGATTACGAAGTTTGTAATCAGGACAACAACTTGTGTTACATTTAAATTAACTTCTCAGACTCGTTTTATCTTCATTATGCATATATGACTCATACATATTGATATTACATTATCCTTTTCACTTAATTGAGACCTTCATATCATCACTCCAAACTATGACTGCACAAAAATTTATTTCAGCGTCATATCTTACTGACATAAGTTATTTTTTCTTAATTATTTTCTATTTTATTTTTGTCATTAATTCGACGATGCATACATAGTCGTTTATTCTCGTTCTGTGTTCATAAACACGCATATTAAACTATTTGCGTATTTCACGTCTCCTTTATTTCTGTTACCTTATTTTATTCCTATCCTTCTTTAAACTCAATTCAATATTCTACTCAATTACACAGAACCTGATTTATTATTATTATCCTACTATTACTACTATCTTTTTTCAAATATGGGAAATATAACGCTAACATTATTGAAACTTGTGTATTATTGCATTTTTGAAGAAACTCGAAATGGTTTCTTCACAACACTTATGTACCCATAAGATGTTCGTGAATAATCATTATCATTATTATGTTGTGTCCCGTTAACAAACAGCTTGGCACGCGTTTCAAAAAGGGCAGTGATTTTGTACTTGTGATTATCCCTGCTTTTGCGTCAAAAGCGTTCTTTGTTAACTTTATATTAAAGTACCTTTCTAAAGTTTGCCTTCTGGTACTCTTTCACTCATTGACTGACACGTGCGTTCATATTGTGGTCATATTGTGTTTTAAACCTTAACCTGAATACAGTAGTTGGTAGTAATCATAAATGTGGACAACCAAACTGTTTGTTCCCTGTGGAGGAACGAATGCAATGTGATGAGTGTAAAAAGTGGTTCCATAAGGTGTGTATCCGTTTAAGTCTCACCACATACAAAAGATGCTCGAAGCCTAGCTCGCGTGGGCTTTGCATGTTTTGCTGTGCAAATAAGACGTCACTAATACAGAAGGCCAGGAGCCTATTGGCTTTGGCCCGTAAGAAGAACGATGGCGCATGCGCTGATAACACGAGCACTGCCAGTGACGACTGTGTCGGTGTAGTACGTGCTGTTACGAGACGCCTCAAACAACCGACTTTGATTGATGGAAAAGTGATATCTCCGTTAAGATTAACGAATATTATTGTGAGCGAATCGCTGGAGTCAAACGACCCTGACCCGAAAATTAGGCACGCGCATGATTTAGAGAAGCTAAGAGAATATGTTCGTAGTATCTTAATTGAAAACTGTAAAGAAGTTCAGGTAAAAAACTGGTTAATATATATATATATATATATTAACTAGAAGCATTAGTGGACACATTAAGGTCACTCATTCTAACAGTGACAGAAACTTGGCCTAGTAGTCCTGATGATATTCATCCTAGGACTATGAAAGGCATATCAAATTCAATTGCTGAACCATTAGCAATACTGTTTGACATGTCTCTGAGGCAGTCTAGACCGCCCAGAGTCTGGAAAGACGCTATAATAAGTCCGATGTATAAGGTTGGGAGTAGGGATTTAGTTAGTTACTATAGACCCGTTAGTTTTACTAGTGCGGCTGTGAAACTTATTGAAAAAATCATTCGGATATCTGTTACAAACTATGTTGAGGGGCATAATTTTTTCTCTAGGGAACAACATGGTTTTCGGAGAAGCTTATCATGCTTGACGAATCTCATTGCAAAAGATCGGAATATTCCTGTAGATGTGATCTTCATAGATCTAAGTAAGGCCTTCGATAAGGTTTCCCATTCTGGTCTTAAATTCAAACTGGAAAGTTTTGGAATCACTATACAGTCGTAGATTGGATAAGTAACTTTCTCCATGACAAGAGACAAAGGGTTAGGGTAAATGGGGCTCTCTCCTCGTGGATACCTGTAAAAAGTGGAGTTCCCAAAGGTACGATCCTCGGTCCTCTTTTCTTTTTACTCTATGTAAATGAATTACCAACTATAGCGAAATCATCCGTTCTACTCTTCGCTGATGACATAAAGATTTGGAGGTTCATACACAGTATGTCGGATAGAACAATATTACAGGATGATCTTAGCTCATTAGTGGCAAGGTGGACAGGTGGTCATCATAAGTGAATCCTAATAAGAGTGTGGTGATGCAACTAAATAGCTATGATGATTCGTATCACTATACAATATGTGGATTCGTGCTACCCAAAGTAAGAAACTATAAAGATTTAGGAGTCATAATAAGCAGTGATCTCAAAACTACCAGTCACTGTAAGGCTGCTGCTGCGAAAGGCTATAGGGTATTATGGTTTATTCGCAGGTCTTTCCAGTATTTAGATGATGAAATGCTTAGATTATTATACCTCATTCATGTGCGACCACATTTAGAATATTGAATTCAAGTAGCGAGTCCTTGTTTCAAGTATGATATATACTCGAAAGAGTCCATCGACGAGGTACTAAGATGGTAAACGGTCTATCTGGCCTATCTTATGAAGACAGACTGAGACACCTTAACTTACTTTCTCTATCTTACAGTGGAATACGGGGTGATCAAATATCGGTTTATCGTATACTGAACGATGATCTTGGTATTACCATAACTTATCTTTTGGTTCCATCTAGAATTGATCATTTTAGAGAACACTCAAAGAAAGTTTAAAAACCGAGATAAATCGTTTATATCTGGAGTTTCGTTTCTCGCACCAAGTTGTGAAATACTGGAATTCTCTACCGGAACACGTAATATCAGCAACTTCGGCTGATACATCCAAAACGAGATTAAACCTCCACAGTAATACAAACTGAAAGGAGTAATATCCTTATTACTGAAGACTGAAAACTGATTCATTTGATTCATTTGAATCACTGTTTGACCTACAAAACCAGAGCGCATTTCGTTCGAGATTTGGACTAGTCCCAAGCCTATAAATTCAGAGCGACTAGTTTTTGCTGAGATACAGATACTTTATTTTGCCACTGGTAAAACCAAGTAAGTATTAGTAAAGTGTAAGGTCAAATATGATTTCAAAATATGTGTGGCGGCTTATTTATTTTATGGTGTCCCACACCTTTCACGGGGACATATGTCATATGTTTACACTAAATAAACTTATATTTATAATTCAAGTGCAAATTTAAGTAGTATAACTACGGACAAATCTATTAATTTTGATTTACCATAACTAGGCGCTGATCACTGATTACATGGATTTTTCACGACGAGGTCATATGAGTTTGTCTTAACTAAAGTGTAGTGTGGAGACTATTAATTTGAGTGCTCAAAATCTTAATTTGCTTAAAATGACTTATCAGGTTTCAGCGTTTTAGCTCATCTCTTGTGGCACGTTCAGTTTTTTATAGTTTATGTGGCTGCGAATTTTCGTAATACGCAGCGGCTTTCGTTATTCATTCGTAGTGATTCCATGTTAGCCACTCCTCTTTGAAAGGTCTCGAATTCCTAATTGGAATATCACGGAAGTATTACCTGTATACCTAGGCAGTCAAAATCTCAGGTTTGCTTTGTTAATGTTCATGTGTGGATAACACTGCATGTATTACTCTATCCAAGTTACTATAATCTCAGTGGTTTGAGCTTGTATCACTGGATTTTTTAATCAATGAAACTCAGCTTACCGCATTGCTCTTTAAGCATTGTTCTTTCTTGCTACAGATATTTCTGTTGATCTCACTTTCATTTGAGACTTTGTACATGTCGTAAAGAGAGGTCACATTTTGTACCATAGTTTGTTTTAGTTAATATTTATTAAAGAGATTCCATTTTGAGTTGTTGAAGCAGATGATCGAAAATATTGTAGATTACTTACATTAAGATCCAAGAAGCAGCGTCATTTTGCCGAATGCCACAGTAGTTTGTAAAGAACCTAGAAACATATTCTAGTATCGATCTACGAAATTCTGGTTATCCATGTGAGCCATGTCATTGTGTTCTGACATTTCGGTTGGTCAAGTTAGAATACTGCCATGTCTCAGTTTGTCCGCTGGGATAGTATTCTCTCTTAAGAACCTTATAATGCGTATCAAATGTTTATTTGCAAAGTATACTATGCAATCGATCATAGCTAACGTAGAATCTGGTATATATCTGGCAGAACATTTAAATTAACCAATATATTATTTTCTCCGTTTGCAACCTCGTAGTAAATTCCACGGTCACTGAAATTTTAGTTCCCTCTTTTCTATAATCTAAATTTTAAATTTGCTGAACGGACTATATTTCTCATCATCTGTTAATAATCGACATTTTCATGACTGAAAATTTTAATTCTTGTAAATAATCTCTCATTGTACTTTTATAGTAAAAAAATCTTGTTCAAATTTTTACCAGGTTATTAAGAAATGTCTGAAGTAAACGAAAGTGAATGTGAAGAATTCTTGAACATTATTAAGTTGTCTTTGGAGGAAGATAAAAGTCATGTTCATGTTGTTGTGATCATCGGAGCCTCTGTAAGAAATACTAGAACGTCTGTTTATAATATATTATAGGGTGACTTGGCAAAGAAAAAAACTTATCCGACTTTATGGTAACCTGATGATTAACTTTGTTACAATCTAGGTGGTTGTTCCGTGATGGTCTTCTTCCCCCTCGAACTTACTTTGTTGGGTTTGCACGGTCTGATATTGGTACCCAGGACATAAGAGCAGAAAGTGAAAAATTTGCCAAGGTAAGATTTCATTTTTACAACCTTATTTACGGAAAATTAACGCCGAAGAGTTTAAATTACTGTTCTTATTTCACTAGCAGACGTTTGCTTCCACCTAAGTTTTCAAAATGACTATCAAGCTCTAGGGCGAAATTCACCTAAATTTAGGTATGCAATTTTTTCTATGTATTAAGTCTGATTTATCCAGGTTGGCATATTTGAGCTAATACCTTCTAACTTCTACTAGAAATCATTGCAATATATTTCTGAAATAGGTTGCCTCGTGAATATGACTTTGATTTATATCTCCCATATTTATATTTCAATACTTTTCTCACTTTATACTTCTCGTCTCATTGATTTCTCTTTATGTTTATGTGAAATGTCGCAACCTGAACCGACCCAGATTCATTCCACGTTGATGACTGACTGATGTACTCGACTTTTATGTTTAATCTTTCGATTAAAAGTATATATGCTGGCCATACTTTTCTAGTCCAATCTAATTTTACGATACTTTCAACTCGGTTCACATATATTATTGATAAATTTCCCGAAGCTGTTCTTGATGGGCACAGTCTTTGCTATATGACTGTCAGCCATTCAGTTTTTATTCCAAACTCGTCCCACTTTTCCAATAGATAAGTAGTATGGTTAGTCAACTCTAAGATGTATCTATTGGTTTGTCGTACACTTGTATATTTAGTTATTGAGACTAATGGTTTATGGTTTTCTGGGGGTAAATATTTTTTCACATTATACCTTACCTGGCACATCACTATGACATCTCCATGTGAGTACAATAAAAATGGTGGGATTTTTTCAATTCCTACTTGAAAATGAGTACTCCCTACGTGTTGGCTTGTAACATGTGAATCATTGATCAATGTTAATGGATTCATTTGTAAAATTATTTTTGTAGGAATGGATCATTTTAAGTTCCTTTGAAAAATATCAAAAAATGAACTAGGTAAATTTTATTCTTAAATTTTCAGTGAAATAGAATATCTTTCTAATCCACAACATTTATCGTACACATTGCATTTTTTAAGTTAATTAATTAGTTTTTCGTAGTACTCTACTTTATAAACAACATGTATTTGGTTCCTATCAGCTCTCATCATCTCCATGTCAAAAATATGAAGAATTTTGGGACTGTAATTTTTACTTGAGAGGAGATTATACAAATCCAAAAACATTTGAATTACTAAATAAGTTTATAGAGTCCAAGTGGGAACAATCTGTTAATCGCATATTTTATTATGCTATACCACCATCAGTTTATAAACCTGTTTCATCATCTATCAAAGAATATTGTACTAACAAAAAGTAAGCAATATTTCACTGTTATAATTCTTGAAGTAATTATTATCGGTTCAGTTGTTTTTCGATCTTTTTTCTTCTACAGACAATATGTATGAGAATAATTATTAATTTTTAAAATAAATGAACAAATAGATTATTTTATGACCAAATTGTATTCATGGTTCTTTAAATTACCATTTGGAACTGTTAAATGAGATTTTCATGTTTATAGTAGTTTAACTTTCAATTTATTCTGTTCATCGAGATGACTGTGAAATAAATGAAGATTGGAATTTTAAGCTAAACTTAATAATTTGCATTTTGTCGAGGTCACTGTATTCATATGATTATCGAAAGCCTAAGTTATTAATAACTGACATTATTTTTCTAATTAGTCATATTTGTTCAGAACGTTACCATTCCAAAACCAACTAGGCCTTAACACATCATTGTTTGCATTTTGTTTTATGAACAAACTTATAAATCGAGGTTAATAGAAAATTCCACCTATCTATCTTGTGATTACATTCTGAATTGATTTCAGTATAAGTGATTCAATTTCTAAACTTAAAATTTCATTTAGTTCAGAAAATGTTTGGCTAAAAGCCACGAGTCTGAAAATGTGTTTTCCAAATTACTCTTAATCCTAAAACACTTTAAATACATTGATCTTTCAGAAAGTCAAACGATGCTTAGCAATTAGGCCTGGTAGTCAGGCCTTAATCGATTAAAGAATGAATGACCTACAAGCTTATTTCCTCTAATTGGCTATGATGTTTTGTCATGTTTATTTTGTATTCATATGTTGCATACGAACATGTTATCTGATTATATGGAGAAACTATTCATTTGGCTAGTGGTCTTGTTTCTAATTTCTAATTATTCAGGGGCCTAAGTTAAGTATACGGTCCGTAGGTAGCCATCACTCGGTCACATTATATCATTATGTTCATCTGCTGACTGGCACTGTATTCATCGATATTAATGGTCGAAATTTCATCTAATAAAACCACAGAAAACCTCTTCCATGACATAAAGTTCAGGAGGAATGTGTATTTAAGCATGTCGATATCAACTTCTTAATGTTTCAGCTAGAAGTCCTAATACTTCGCAACATCAAAAATGATCCTTAATCGATAATGATCGGGAAGCAAATTATCATTGGTTTTGCTAATAAAATGCCTAAGTGTATAATACGCTAGCATTTTAGTTGTTATGGTCAAATTCTATCAATAACGACAATAGATAATAAAATTATTTAGCCGATTTTTCCTACTAACATCGGCGAATAATATCTGGGCTTTACTTAACTGCATTACCGAGTTGTTATGATGTGTGTTGATGATGAAAATCTGTCTGTTTCAGAGGAACAAAATTCTTTATCTTAAAGGACTGTAAAATATCTTACAATAAGTGGCGCTTTAAACTGAAACTCCATTTCGATATCACATTCTGAATTTTATGCACTGCTATGAGTCTAGATTGAATTTCTAACTTACACGTGAAATCTTAGATTCCGTTCTTAATGTTCGTTCCAAGTAAATCGGAATGCTGAAGTGACACAATATTCATAGATTATCTGGATTACTGGCACACTGTAGCGTTGAAACACAACAGCACTTTGAATCTTGTCAATTACATTTTGAGGTTACTTGACAATTTAATTTTTTTCAGCCAACAAGTTATATTGATTGATGTATTTTGTCTACTACAATAATACTTTTCCTAACTGAGAATATATACCTTACTCCAAATTAGTTGTGTGATTTATGTAGAGTGAACCGTTGTCAGAGGGCCTTTAATTTAATTATTTATAAATTTATATTTAATTCATTTGGAAAATTCTTTTTTACACCGCTTCTTAATGTTATACTCGTAAATAACAAAATGCCGCTTGGTATTATACTTATTTTTATTGGTTAATTTAATAGTTCAGGTTGCTTTGTTTTCTGTTTTGTAAGGTAATTACCATAAGAAATATGCCTCGTCTTTCGTAGTGGTAGCATCACTTTTCTTTTCAAACATATCTTCAGTTCTTTTTCTCAAAATATTTCTATGGTTCTTTTGGAGTTTATTTCTGTGTTTTTTGTCGTTATCTTTGTCCTTATACCCCATCATTATGTAACAGTCATATAACAAACTGCATTTTTTAAACGTAGTTAACAATAAATGAAACAGTGGTTCATATGTTTTCATGTCTTTCAGTAAGTTACACTCTCATCCTTTTGTAGTGAACACGAACACCAGTAGGGATAATCGAATGTATTTGACGCAAAATTACAGGACATGTTAATAAAATCTAACAATCAAATAGTAAATACGTAATTTGCAAAATGTACATCAATTGTCTTATAATGACTCAGACTTCATTGTTCTTGCATTTTCATACAAATTGCATTCTGTTCCCATTCTTTACTGTTCGATCCTCTTGTCTCTCTGCTGCCAGACATTCTGTTTCTGTATAAAGGATATGACATTATGACTGTTCTCTGAGTTTTTTTAAGTACTATCTTCATCCTGATCAAGTTATGAAAGTGCCCTGTATCAATATTCATTTTGTACTCAGAAAGGAACTAACAACGAATATATCAGAACACTGAAACTTGTGACTTTCATAAATATTAATTTTATGTTGGTACAAATTTCTTAGCCCTGATACGTGGACTCGATTGATCATTGAAAAACCGTTTGGACGAGATTTAGAGTCATTTAATGAATTGAATTCTGAATTAACTAAACTGTTTACAGAAGAACAGATTTATCGAATCGACCATTATTTGGGCAAAGAGATGGTTCAAAATCTACTAATTTTACGGTAAGATTCTTTCTACAGTACTTTATATAATTATTAACTCTCTTATATGTTCATTATTTTTTGAGCTCATAGATCCATGAGTAATAATGGTAACACATTTTGCCAGTTGTACTATTATTCAAAAGAAGGAAAAATTAATCTGGAGTGTAAAATAATTCGAAATTTTCTAACAAATACTTATTTGTACTTGTTTATTTTTAATCGGTAAAGAGATTTTATTAAAACATATTTTAAGAGCTAAACATAACAATATGAACATTATATGCCTTATGTCAACATATCTTGTAAATCTCAATCAAATTCGATCAACACAAATATGAAATCAGAATTAGTTTTAAATCAGATTCTGTCGATGTCAGTAAATCATCACTCTCTATTATATGTATATAAATACCACTAATGAATGCAGTAGATACCTATATCGTGACGATCAATGAAGTAAACATTACATTATTGTTAGAATGCATTTGATTTAGAGGAATCATTTAAAAGTGTCTAGCTAATAAACCAGTTGGTTGTTTATGCACACTCTTATATTGTTTGACTTTTTTTTCAAGCCTCAATTATCACTAAAAATGATAGAAACTATCCAAACTAATGTTTTGTCTGTATTTTGTATTCAATTTAATTACACATGCGTGTATCATATCGTTATTATGTAAAACTTTTCTGCACGGTCAAAACATTTAATATTTGGAATATACGAACAAGTTCATTTAATGTATCATGTTCAAACAGTTGCATATTTGCATTATTATCTAATATGAATAAACTATAGCAACTCACATGCATTTGAGTTTATTCACATTTAATTTGGTTAAGCCCTTTTGTTAACTTATTTATCGGATAGAGTCATTCGTACAATAACAACTTATCTATGCTATTGTACCTTTACTATTGTTGTTGAATTCGTATGCTTGAGTATAGCTTACTGCCTACTCATATATTCATTCTGCTAATCTTACTATTCGCTTAATTGATTCGATGATTCATTCATTTCACCATATTTATATATGTACATTTTAGTCCTGTTCATTGACTCACTCATTCGACTCTCTTTCCCGTTTGCTTTTCGGCACTACTCTTTCATGCTTGCTTAGTGTACCTGTAATTTTGGGTATTTTTACATTTGGCCTGACTGATCAAGAAAACGACTAGTAAGCTAAACACATAACCCATTTCTTCCAACAGCATGCATCGTTAGTAATCTCTCAGCTGCCGTTGAGTCCTTAGATGTCCGGTAAATCGTCTGGCTTTCAAAGAATAACGTGTCCCCTATTTTCCGATCTAGCACCATCCCATCCTCCCAAAATGATTTTCATCTTGTCATTCACTTAAAGTGAAGACAGACGTTAAACAAGAGAGAAATATTTATATTCATATGAAGTAAATTCACAAGAAGGGCTCTTAAAAGTTGCCAAATAAGGAAACAAAACGAACAGAAAATGGTAAGCAGATATTGAGATGAATCAGAAAATTGTGCGATTGGTTAAATAATTTTCGTCACAAAAGCCATCGCTTTAACTACAAAAAGGCTGAAGTAATGTTTTCAGCGTTCAATAAGTTACTTTGGTTAGTTTAGTCGTTAAAATACTTCTCGACAATTTTCCAGTAAGATTTTGGTTTAACCGGTTTTGCTCACTATGCTTATTATGCAAAAGATTTTCCTTGTTTGATTCAATTTGATTTTATTTGCAAAAAAATAATCACTTTCCAGATTCTGTAATCAAGTCTTCAGTCCTCTGTGGAATCGTGAAAATATTGATAATATTACAATATCATTTAAAGAACCATTCGGAACCGAAGGACGTGGTGGGTATTTTGATCAATTCGGAATTATTCGGTAGGTAGAAATTCCCTTCTACCTTAAAAAATGTATTTAAACGTGTCAAATTACGAGATTATGAATGATAGCTCATTGTTATTCAGTGAAAATATTTAGTTGGTTCAGTGCAGATTCGTTCAATTTTTTTGGTTTAATTATATTGTGCGCGATATTACTTCTGTATTTCATGGTTTCGGCTATATGTATAGGGTTGCGGATACGCGTCGCTGACGAGTCCCAGGTTGGAACGAATCAATTAGTCGATTTTCCAGCTGTTGTAAGTTTGTGGATAGAATTATCTCGAAATCATAGTTTGACATCATAATTTCCACATATCGGTTATTTTGACAACAGTTGCGATCATAAATTGAAGTCGGTTGAATAACTTATAAAATCAGTGTTGGCACAAACAGTAGTATTTTTGTATTCATCATCGGTAAAGTATAACTTCAGTGATAAACTCTATTCATCTTCAAGTTTAAGATGTACCATCAAGTCGTTATTGAATAAGTTATATTGAACTTTAGCTAATTCACATTCTCAGCAAATTCACGAAAATTATTATCTGACTACTGACAGTAAACATGAACTATGTGTCAGTCACTTGGCGTAAAAATGGAGCTTCATTGACAAAAATGTAAAGTGTATATGTTTATATGAACAACCTGACTGTTTGAATGAATGGGCAGGTAATATTATAATCAGAAACAATAACACAGTCACAAGGTTCAAGTGCTTGGAGTAATTAACCAAGAAGACAGTCATCTAAAGTATCGATATTTAAATTAAAAAGACCCGTTCCCATTCAATTTATGAAAGATGCTTTATCGAACCAAAAAGATTTTAAGGGTAGACATCAAGAAATTTAGAATTTGTTCTTGTTAGGAATGACTCACTTAATTATCTGTTAGGTGTATTCTCTGAGAGACATGAGAAAATGTATGATCTAGCGCAATTCAAATGGAGCGCACTTCAAATCAATGTTATTAGGACGAATTGACACCAAGAGAACCAAATGAATCGAAATAATGACATCAATAATAGGCGATAATCTAAACTAGAAAAATGGCTTTAAAAAAATCAAACAAATAACATTAATTAATGAGAAGTATATTTTAACACCAATGTTCAGTGAATTGAAGTAAAATAATCAATGAATGGTGTATTATATATCGCATTAATTTTAAGTCACATCACTAATTATTAATGATATAGTTAGATTTGAAATTGGTGAAATTTACAATTAATAGTTTAGTATACGCTGTCATTATAAATTCACTTTTCAAAATTATCAATGTAAATAATTCATTTAAGTTGATAAAAGAATTCTCAAATAACTCTTTGTTAATTTTTGAATGATATCGAAGTCTACCGATTGATTGAGACGTTACATAATATTATCAAATGCAATTCCATTTCGTGATATCATATATTTAACATTGTTATAGGAATATTAGCATATGAACATTGGTATAAGAGGGCGCCGTCTGTCATTGAAAGGCGTACCCCAAAAGTACATAAACCTTGTAAAGGCTCTTTACTCGAACACTACTAGTCGAGTCAGAGCTTATGGCGAACTGTCATCTACTTTTGCAACCTCAAGTGGTGTCCGTCAAGGCTGTCCACTTTCCCCATTTTTGTTTAACTTCATCATAGATCTATTGATGGAAATAACTTTCTCGTCGACTGAGTTCTCGGGTATTGATCTCCTACCAGGAGGTCCACTTATCGACTTAGAATACGCAGATGACATAGTCCTGTTTGGTGAAGACGCTGACAAAATGCAGAGTCTTCTGGTAGCACTGAGCAACAATGCCAGAATGTTTGGAATGCGCTTCTCCCCCTCTAAATGCAAGTTGTTGCTTCAGGACTGGTCTGCGTTAACACCTGAACTAAGGATAGGGAGTGAAGTAGTCGAACGCGTTGACAACTTCACTTATCTTGGAAGTCTGATCAGCCCTAATGGGTTGGTGTCTAACGAAATCTCAGCACGGATTCGAAAAGCTCGCTTGGCTTTTGCCAACTTACGTCACGTGTGGCGAAGGCGAGATATCCGTCTATCAATTAAGGGGCGAATATACTGCGCGGCAGTCCGTTCTGTTTTAATTTACGGCAGCGAAACATGGCCATTAAGAGTAGAAGACACTCGTAAGCTACTAGTATTTGACCACAGATGCCTTAGAAATATTGCTGGCATCTGCTGGGATCACCGGGTAAGTAATAGTGAGGTTAGACGCAGGGTATTAGGGAATGATGGTAAAGCAGTCGATGAGGTTGTGAATCTTCATCGACTGAGATGGTTGGGCCACGTGTTACGTATGCCCAAACACCGATTACCACGACGTGCAATGCTAACCGGTGTTCGGGATGGTTGGAAGAAAGTTAGGGGCGGCCAAACCAAAACGTGGCATCAGTGCTTGAAGTCACTAACTTCTAGTCTGAGCCATGTTGGTAGATGCAGACTAGTTGGTTGGGGTCCGCGTGACTGTCGTAACCAATGGTTGGAGACTCTTGGTGACATGGCTCAGAATCGATCACAATGGCGTCGGTGTATACACTCCCTGTCTTCCCTTGAACTAAGAGATTAAAATCGCTTCATACCTTTCTTTCTACGAACCAATTTTTTCTTCTTGTACTATATCTCTATATGCAATCCTTCTCTTATATATTACCACCTTTGACATAACCACTGCTATGAATCCGCTGTTCATCTTGTTGTGCTGATGCGGTATGGCAACCTGGACCGATGCACATATGTGCCTGGTCCTACTTTATAGCTGACTGACTGATAAGAGGGCGCCAAATACATATGCACCATGCAATAACAATGAGACCAGTAACAGTTACCATTGATTTATGTGAGGTCTGTGATACTGCCCTGGTGCCCAAACCAAAACAGGTGGTTTTCTTAGGAGGCCACACTCGGAGCCTTTAACCTAGAAGCTTAATACACAAGGCAGTGGAGCAACTTTAGAAGATGCAGTCCCATCGTAGCCGGTGACCAACGATTGGTTTATGCGCCATTTGTTCCTTCGGGATACTGGAGCTCATGTGCACCATTGGTTTGGAATGAGGGTTTTCCAACTCCTCTAGGTGGACTCTCCGTGTCCACCAAACCGGTTAAAACATCAAACATTCGCTTTTCTTCCTCTCAATTTCGTAAACAGCACCTCCCGACACGAGAAGGCAGTGAGTAGGACTTCCGTGACAGAGGCTATATATGTGTGGCCATGTGGGAGCATTTCGAGAGGGAGAGCGGACTGTCCTCACCCTCGGCCGTACCAGGACATTTAGGGGTTTCTATGCACTAAGGTAAACATTTGAATTTTAAAATATTGCATTTCATTGTGTTGATTCATTTAAATAGACTATATGTATTCTCGTGAATTCATCTTTCTGCTTTTCTCATACTATTTTCATCGCTAGTGATGTTGTTCAGAATCATCTTATTCAAATTCTTTCGTTGGTAGCAATGGAAAAACCTATTTCAGTTAATGCAGATGATATACGTGATGAGAAGGTAGATTGTAATCATTTTTGTTTGATATTTCATCTTGATGTTGTTACTGATATTGATGCTTAGTTTGATACTAATTTTATAAAGTTGTATTTATCACAGGTTAATCTCAGTTGGACTACAAATAAAAACCAGGAAGCGAAACTGTTGTCACCGGTGGCATTGAACGGTCATTATGCTATATTATCACAAATCTATATAAGCTAGAATTATACCACTGGAAGCAGACCCCAGTGGTTCTAATGGTTAGACGTTTAACATGAGAACTGAAGCTCTAGGTTCAATCTCTGGCAAGGTCGTTGACACATGCTACTGCTGAGTTTTATACAAGGATAAAACTGCTGTCTAGTGACCCGTGGGTTTTAGTCGTACACGGACTGAGTTCAGTACAAGGAATACAACCTGCAAATTAAACCAATGTCCACAAAACCCATTCAACCAAACTAATGATGATTTTTTTTATCTAACAAAATGTAGACTTAAAATATTATCAATATTACAAGAATTTGCTTGAGGAACTTAGTGAAATGCATTATTCATTATATGAGGAGTTATTTATGCGCATGTCCATGACATATTCAACCTGTATTGACTGGATTGTGTATTTTCGAAGTAGTTCAGTGCATTTGACAGGATATTTAAGGGATGAGACTATTTTATTTAATGAATACTGTCCTTCATCTTATTTGACTCGTGTCTATTTGAACGAATTTACTTTGTTGTAAGAATTCTTTGCTTTAATCATAAAAATTGTTTAAGTTACTGTGCTAGATGTACTAAGTCTCTGTGCCATCTGTCCTTAGTAGCCATGTGACGGCGTAAATCCCAGCAAGATAGTATAGTTCTGATGACAACAACTGTATACAATCTAAAGGACAACATGACAGCTGTTGATTGTCACATTTAGTTTCTTAATGAGATACAGATTTCAAGATAGCTCGAATAGTTCGAATTACTCACTACGAGTATGAAAACGGTAATATTAAATGACCTTTTCGTTGGTCGAAATCTGCAGATCGAAATAGTGTAATTAGATCAATCTTTCAAACCATACAACGCCCCCAAATGCCCTGGTACGGCCGAGGGTGAGGACAGTCCGCTCTCCCTCTCGAAATGCTCCCACATGGCCACACATATATAGCCTCTGTCACGGAAGTCCTACTCACTGCCTTCTCGTGTCGGGAGGTGCTGTTTACGAAATTGAGAGGAAGAAAAGCGAATGTCCGATGTTTTAACCGGTTTGGTGGACACGGAGAGTCCACCTAGAGGAGTTGGAAAACCCTCATTCCAAACCAATGGTGCACATGAGCTCCAGTATCCCGAAGGAACAAATGGCGCATAAACCAATCGTTGGTCACCGGCTACGATGGGACTGCATCTTCTAAAGTTGCTCCACTGCCTTGTGTATTAAGCTTCTAGGTTAAAGGCTCCGAGTGTGGCCTCCTAAGAAAACCACCTGTTTTGGTTTGGGCACCAGGGCAGTATCACAGCCCTCACACATATCAAATGAGATTTGTGTGGCACATATGTATTTGATTCGTCCTTGTACCAATATGCATGTATTAAAATAAATAAAATAAAAACCATACAACAGCAAACTGAACATTGTTCAACGTTCCATTTTTCAAGTCAAATAATTAGACACCTTGATTCGGCTTTTAACATCGTTTAATATTTTTTTGTGTACATTTCACATAAAATTATTGGGTTGTCGTAAACTAAAACGGGTATCTTTTCCTCATGTAGTATAGGAAATATTTGAATCATCGTTGACTCAATGTTCAAGTGGACTGTTGTAAAACATCAGTCCATAAGCGTTAATCTTAATTGTTGGTCAAAGTTGGTCGATTAGTAAATACAGTGAAAATTCTTACTGATACAAATCTACTATAAACTCTGTCTCATATATGTATATTGATACGAAAAGAGTGGTACTGACATTGACACCATAATTTATTTTGAGAAGGATTAATCTATATCTCTTAACTATGTTTCCTTTGAAAATAATATTGTCAATAGTTTCTGTCTTGAGCTGTAAATCAATAGATTATCGATTAATCAGGAATCTCAATAGGATTTTCTTAGTTAAGTTGTCGTTAGCAATTAACAGGTAGTCCTGAATGTTGTAGTCTTCAAGTTAGTTGAGACTCATTTGCTAGGCATATCTATAATCCATAACGAATTGAGTTTCGCTGTGGCATTCGAACACGTCACATTGAGAGATAATAATACCAAACTATTCGAGCAATGAGTAACCTCTTATTGGACTAAAATATTTATGCTTATTAATCACTCAGTAGTAACAAACGTCATACTGTCCACTTCTCATTCGTAATCCATTCCTATTGATTTTATCGCACCGTGACTACTAGTTTAAGTGGTTCAACATCTAGATGCACTCTGTTTGAATCTGATAGACTTTAATAACTGGATAACATTTAATTGGTTATTGCGAATTGATCAATTGGTGCAAAAGTAGTTTTCGTGCTTATTTTGCTGTTCACAGTTGGTTGTTATCTCATATAAATAAAACCTTTAATTTACTTCAAAGTAAAAATCAATAGCGGAGTTTATTGAATAATTTCTCACGTGTTATTTTTCATATAAGTTCACTTAAAATTTGAATATAAAACACGTAGAAAGTTGATTATAGCGAAAATGGTGAACAGTGCTTGTTCAAATGTTATGTTGCTGAAATAAGACATCAATAGTTGCCGAATTATGTAATACAATCAAATTCTAGCATAGTAACAACATTTTTAATTAGGAAGTTAAAACAGGTTGTTGTGAAACCGATAGGCTGCACAATCATTAGTAACAAAGTTCAAAGTCATATGTGGTCAGCAGTTAACAATAGCTATAAAGTAGGAAACAATCGAAAATTACGATAGTATATTGAAATGAGATTTTGTGTATGATAAATCCTTTTGAATAAGGTACTACGTAATAGTTTAAAATGTAGGTTACCGGTTGAGTCTCCAAGAGCTCTTGTGTACATTTCTCGTGAATACAAAGAGTTGATCTGATAAAACCGATGTCAGCTGTTGCCAGCCAACTTACATGCAGATATTGTAGCGAACTGGATGATAATCGATAAATTGGTTGAAAAAACTTCATTCAGTTTAAGTTGACTTCCAGTGTATATCAAGTGAGAAAGTAAGAATCTCTCGAATACTCTTATTTTCTCTTTATTAAATAATGATGGATTTTGTTCAGAAATTCAGTAATAAACGTGTCTGATTAGATTTATGCTGTGACTAGTTACACAAAACCTGTTGAATCGTTACATACCCATGGAAAATCCAGAAAGCTCATCTTTTTTCTTATCTATTGAAATCGAAATATTCGCGCGCGATTCTGAAGGTCCTGGGTTTGAGTTCCGCGAGAGGGGTCGTGGATGCTCATTTTTGAGGAGTCCTACTCTAGGACGAAACTGTCGTTCAGTGACTCCAGTCCTTCGATGGGCGGTTTAACAGTGATCGATTAATGATTTCAGCGAGATATTTAAGTCACACATTTTTCTAAATAACGAATATTTAAAATTATTCCACATGATTTTGTAAGTTGGTGACAAATATTTGTACTCACATGAGTAACTTAAAGAAAACGTTTGACACAATCCATAAAGCTTGTTTTTCATACTGTAAACTGTATATGTATTTTTAAATTATTGAATTATTTTCTTTTAAATTATGTAAACCGTTAATACTAAAGACAATATGTGTTATTTGAATGGGTATTTGCACGGTATCACAGTTTCGTTGACATTTTAACTACACCCATCAGCCTATACAATTTATTTCTTCTTAACAATTTCCCTTGTTTTTACCACTATATACCTGTGTAATTTTCTCATTGTATTTACGTTTGTACTATACCTCCAATTGATTGGACTAAATCGATGCTTATAAATTGCTAAGTAGTTTGTATACTCTACAACATACTATGTATCTGATCTTTTTTATCCCTTGGGCAATATTTTTCAGAATATTTCTGTGAATTTGTAGGTTAGTCGAATAAGTTTTAATGACAGAAACGTTTGTTGTCGATTCCCTTTACAAAGCATGTGAATTAGTTCAATTAAAACGTTATTCAATGGCTCCCCCTATTTTTATATCAGTTTTATTGTCATCAAAATAGTTTCTATTTACCCTTAATCAATTTGACCTCTTGCTTATGAATTTTTAACAATAAATACTATACTAGAATAAAATAATTTATTCATTCTTTAAGAAGTTTTGATTTGCTCTCCAAATGATATTAGTTTTTGATCGTAATTAAAATACCTAGAACTTATAAATTAACGAAATGTCTACAAAGTCATTTTAACTTGAATAACCAATCTCTAATTCACCAGTTATGAACTCAGATTCTTGCCTACTTTTCTAATGATTAAGTTTTGTTAAAATAATTTATATGTTTTAAGTTGTTTCCTTTATTCAGTTAATTTTTCTACTTTATAGTTCAGAATACATTTAGTTAATGTTAAAATGTCATTTGAGGATTCAGTGTTTGTTTCTAAAGTGAAAAACACTTTTCATTTGGAATTTATTTTATCTATATAAATGTAGTAAAGTTTTCCTTTTATTGAGTATTTTCAAACATATTTTATAATGTAATGTATAATCTAATCTTTATCTAAAATACCTTGGTTACTAATTATAAACTGTAATGAACCCTATAATTAGCTTATTTTTCATTTTGAGAACTTATATTCATTTGTAAAATAATCTTTAATCAAAAATTATTACTTTTGGGTGGGAACAGTTGAAAGTAAAAAAACAAGTAGTAAATGAAAATAATTTGCCTCGACTAAATTGTTATTTCGTTTTCAATTTTACATTTCTAAGTTGTTTGTTGAATAGCAAATAAAAAACTACAAATACATGAACTACATCATATGTATAGCCTCCTTTGATGGTATCTTTCGATACTCCTACACATATGCACATTTTAATAAAACCATATTATAGATAATTTCGTTGAAACTATAATTTATGGACTACCTTTAAGCGACGCTAAAGTGGTCTTCAGAATGTCCACTTACTTACTAGGGCTAAATGAGAGTTATAAACCTGTGTGAAGAATAAGAATTATGATTTACAGTTGATGGTTAGGGTTAAGAATTAGATTTTGGGTTCTCATCACGAACTGATATAAGTTAAAATGTCAAAATACTCTTTAACCAAATGGATGAACGAATTCCGCAAAAAAATTCAAGACCTGTTATCTTAAGCCTGATTGGTTAGTCCATAAATTATAGTGTCGTCAATAATCCTTAATATAGGCTAAAACATAAATATCAGTCTATGAAAAAACAGTGTAACATTCAGTAAGCTGTTTCAAACTGAATTACAAGCTTTCTCAAAACCATAAAATAAAAACGATTAGTGAATCGCTACTATTCTTTAGAATTTTGTCTTGTTAATTCTACTCTGTGACATCATTTCTTAGCACAATTTTTAATAACATGATAAATACCCAGATAATAAAGAGTATTAGTGATTTTAATTGTGGTTTCCTATTTGTAAGTATATACATTCATTTTAATACATTAAATACTTTATTAGCATAGCTCTATTCATATGATACTGTTATGTATTGAGAAACTCACTTAAATTTGCCTTTTTCTTTGTCTTCACTTACATCTAACAGAAAAATTTCAATTGTGGTTACATTAATAGACATAAAATCTAAACAAGTGGTGTAACACAATCTAATAATGAGTTGTTTTATTGTTTCAAGATTATTAGTACCTATCTCTTCACTTCTATCGTGGAATAAGCTTTTTTTCGTCGATAAGAAACGTGAGATATGAAGTATTAAGTATTATAAACACGATACGAATTCATTGTTTTCATCCTAGTGTATTTGCATCTGTAACATCAAAGATATCAGATTTTTCATATTTGTATATTCGAGGTGTATGATCCCGACCGTAGCAGCTACCTTGACGCGGTGGTCGGGCTTGCCTATCGTGATGACCCAACCGAGCTATATTGACTGGAACATATGTTCCTGTAGGTTCTATCATGCCAGGCAGGTCGATTGGAGAACGGTAAGACTAAAAATCAGCAACTCAAGGTCTGAGGGCGAAGTCGTACTGCTGACTGTAGACGGGTGTGACAGCAGTAAGGTGTTTCCTTCGGACAGCCAGCATATACAGCGATGCTGCCTTCTCACAAGGAAGGAAGGGGTTGAAAAAGGTCGACCCTAAAAATGTCACATCTCACCTTACCTCACGGATTTCCGTCTCCGGCGGTGAGGCCCTTTGAAGAACGGAGCTAACACGTCAAAAACATCCCACAAAAAGGCCGTGCGCGACCGGCCTCAAGCAGTTGTCCCTTGGGCTCTGCAGTAACGCTCCCAGGCCGTTAAGGTCGACATTAATCCGGATTTTTTTCAGGTTCCTCAAGAAATACCCTTCCACGGTGTGGGCAGTTGGGAAGTGACACCAGCCCTCATCCCCGTAACAGCACACGAGACCAAGTTGGTCACATTCAAATCCTTCCTACTGACTGACTGACTGGTGTATGATAAAACAAATTAGTGAATTTCATCGTCATTTTTTATTTGTTAAATTTTTCTGTTAACTAATGTTTTAGATCTTTCTATTTGGTAAAATCTGTTTGCGACAAAAATGTAAATTTTTTAGTCGTAATGATAAGATTTTAAAATTCATTCGCAGTTACAATTTCTTGAACAACAATATGTCATTTTAACATAAATCATCAAAAATGGAGTAGATTTATAACCTTTGTTTGAAACTTGTCGAAAGTTTTCTCACACGAAATTGGACTCGTAACTTTCAGACCGCTTGACTAACACATCATTTAGTCAGTGGTACAGAATTCAACAGTTTATACATTAAAAATTAGTCAATCCGCGATATAACGCAATCTGCGCTCAATAGTATCAAAGGGTTACTGCCTGACTGTCGGTTTTGTCAACTTTACATGGTACGACTTCCCAACAGAACTTTCAAAAAGATCTATGTCGAGCACATTATTGCTATATGTTGCGGAGTGACTGAAACGAGAAATGTGAATCATCTAGTTCTTACCCTACCGTTCAATTGTAACTTACTTGTTCTAAGATTCAGTTGTGCTAATTTATTTCTCGTTATATTATGAGTGGCTTCTACTGAATACTCTTGAATCTAACTGTTGGTTTTTGGTGTTCCGTTGCTTTTTGATAATTGTTCAGTAAATAAACTGGAATTATACGGCTAGGTAATCTCAACCGATGCAAATCAAATGTTAGATATTCCGTCGCTAGGAAACATTTTCATCGTGCTTCAAACTGCTGACATAAAATCATACGGTGGTTATTTCGTAACGAGGACGTAATATATCCAAACGCCTGTCACTCTCTCTCTTTGGTTAGCTGTTACTGGGTTCCAATGAATATTCGCTCTATATATATTAAATATGTTTGATGACATCAACGTGTGCTCGTAACTGCACTTAAAATATCACTTCATAAGTACATGATCATCATTATAGTTTTTACGTATGCTACCAATATTTCGTGGTTTAATTATGCCAGGTTTTAAGCTAAATTATTCTACCGTTTAATTTATGTACTGTAAATTATTTTTATAGTTCGTTCGTGTTTATTTATTAACAGGATTATATTAAGGATGAAAACATGTGATATTATGTTATGATGGTAGTGTGTGTGTGTGTGTGGACGTAGAAAACAGTGTAATGTTTTAATAATACATACTTTTTTCCTTTATTATATTCTTTGTAGGTTCGTGTGCTTCGAAGCATTGAACCTCTAACAATAGACGACATTGTAATTGGACAGTACGTTGCAGATCCGAATGCAACAAATCCACCTGCTTCGTTGTCTTACACGGATGATCCATCAGTTCCTAAAGGTAGTCCAAATTTTTTCCAGTTTTCAACCTGAAGCCTTTATACAGTTTTTAATAACTGCGAGATTTTTTTGTTGGTATTCGAATAATGTATGTATAATTTGATTAACTTTATCATTGGTGTGAATTTTTGAAGGGTCTCATGATTCACAAAACAGTGATGCAATCAGCGTTTTTGTGAAATTGCAACAACCGACCTTGAAGAGTTTACAAATACAATTTTTGTTTGTATAAAGAATATACAAGTGATGATTTTGGTATCTCCTATAATAATATTAATTTTAATAATATTCTACATATCTTCATGAACTCTTACCCATCATTCAGATTCATATTTGAAGAGAAATGAACTAAACCTTCACTTCTCTAATATTAAAATGGCAAGAAGATTTTTATGGAACGTTCTGAAGATCCGTTTGTAGAGAATTCCTACCAACTGGAAGATGAATTTGATTATATCTCATCCAGTGAATCTGATGATTCTGCACTCCCAACGTTGCAAATGAAGAGCTCAACCTTCTCAGAAAAACTAATTTGAAACGCATTTTCACGATTTGTTTACAAAAACATCAAAATATTCGTTCCTAAGATACTCCACATAAATGCTAACTTTAAGGGTGACGCATCAGACGATATCATCAAAAGGAAATTCTGTGTGGCAACCTTGAAAACCGACAACTTAAAAGAAAAAAATTGGATCCGGCCTATTCCTTATTCATCTATTAATTCACTTTTTCCTGTGGAACAAGGTATATTTGTCTTATAATGTGTATTTTGTCTAAACGAGTCCAGAGACACTACTTCACATGGTTAGGGAAAGGCAACAGTGAAAATTTTATCACAACTGTTCGTCTGATCAAAGTCGTCTGCTAGGTGAACAGAAACTTAACAAAAGCAATATGTTTCCGTCTCCTACGTATTTATAAAGCCATCACTATATCTACAAAAGAAAAGTGTCCAGCGTCTTATCTCACCATGAACTTAATTTGTAAATTGTAATTATTTAAGTTATCATTTTATTTTACATTCATTTTACTTTATTTTGTTTATCTTCTGAAACTTTTATGAATTATTCTCTCTATGTCACTCTGTTGAAGTTTTAACCCTGACGGATATACTTTTGCTTCTATATCATTATCGAATTTTATGTTATCGTATTGCACTAATTTCTATGATGTTTTTAATTTAATTTTGATCGAACTACTCTTCAGTAATAATTTTTTACTTGGGCTGTGCATTCGTATTTATAGTCGTTATGGTAAATTTACCATACAAATATAAATGATCTCGTCTAAAAGAAAGTTTTCTTCATTTGATAATTAAAGTCTTGAATCACTTTGTTATGCAACAACTTTTTTACACTTATTTCATTTTTTACTATGTTCGATTAATCATTAAAAACACAAGTATATACTCGATTGCACAGTTGTGAGAATGAAGTTTCTGTTCAGAAATCTTTTCGTTCAGTCATTCTCTTGTTTTAACAAAATTAGTTTGAATTTAGCAAAAACATGCATTTCTATTCAAATTTGTTGTATTTGGAGGGTGTACTCTTCTCGTGATGAAACATCTCAATACTTTACTACAATTTTAGGCCCCTAAATTCCCTGATACGGCCGAGGGTGAGGACAGTCCGCTCTCCCTCTCGAAATGCTCCCACATGGCCACGCGTATATAACCTCTGTCACGGAAGTCCTACTCACTGCCTTCTCGTGTCGGGAGGTGCTGTTTACGAAATTGAGAGGAAGAAAAGCGAATGTTTGATGTTTTAACCGGTTTGGTGGACACGGAGAGTCCACCTAGAGGAGTTGGAAAACCTTCATTCCAAACCAATGGTGCACAAGGGCTCCAGTATCCTGAAGGAACAAATGGCGTATAAACCAATCGTTGGTCACCGGCTACGATGGGACTGCATCTTCTAAAGTTGCTCCACTGCCTTGTGTATTAAGCTTCTAGGTTAAAGGCTCCGAGTGTGGCCTCCTAAGAAAACCAGCTGTTTTGGTTTGGGCACCAGGGCAGTATCACAGCCCTCACACATATCAAATGAGATTTGTGTGGCACATATGTATTTGATTCCTCCTTATAACAATATCTATGTGTTAAAGTAAATAAAATAAACATTGTTAAGCGACTTAAAATGACTTGTTTTTTCATCTTACTGTGACACAAATCTTGAACTTTACTTGTCAAGGGTACTTTGTATAGAATATGTGAGCAATCACCTATCCTTATTAGTGAATATTTATTAATGATTAGCTTTTTGATTACTAGCAGTGAGATACTTAGACATTTTATCGTGTGTATTTTTGTATGTGTGCTAGAGTGTTGTCTTCATTTGATTACTTTTGGTTCCAAGAGTTTAACGATCATTGTTTGATTTAATAATTCATTCTGGTTACCTAAAGCACTTCAACTCAAACAGTAGATACTTAGTATTCGAAATCAATCATGCAAATGATTTACTCAACTGTTATCCTGTTATTCACCAAAGGTATATAACATGATCACCCCTGTCACCATATATGGTAATATTCACTTGTAATTAATTGCTTAGGAAATATCAGTTGTATATTGTACAGGCATCAAATCAAAGACGTACACAACACAAGTTTTTTAAGCTGCAAATGATGATTCACTCATTAAGACTAGGAACTTTAGCAGGTCTGAATGAGTGTGGCCGTTGTTATAGTTACTTCATGAGTTACTTTAACAAAAATATGAAATCCTTGTCAGTTAGTTAGAGGTAGTGATTAGAAAACTGTAGACCTGGTTTACTTACTACTTTGGACCTGTTAACAAGGCGTACCTTCAGTCTTAGGAGAACTGGTGCTTCCTATCAGGTTCGAATTCGCGTCACTCAGCTCTACAGTTTGAGATGTTTTTGTTTGGAATGTAACGAATCTGGTTTAATGTAGGTGGCCAGTATTACAACATGGATTGTAATGACGCAATGAATAGAAGAAATATCGGGGCGATTGATGTAACCAAGTATTCAATTTGTTCATACAATCAAACCTTTAATTCTAATTGAAAATTCTTTCGATGACTGAACTGCTAAGCAACTGGCCATATATTTTGGGGAACTAAATGTGTCATGTATAACGCATAAAATATTTAACGAACATAGTCCGATCTTCAGTTACATATATGGCAAACTTTAAAAAAACACCAAGAAATTCAAGGTGCTATGCAAAGCAATAAGATTATATTTCTAAGATCCGCATGAATCTACTTGTACCGATTGATGACCTTATTTGTTTGCGATATTCTCATTTTTCATTGTTCCAGTTTACGAATTTCTAAAAACACTTCACTGTACAATATTTTCACTGTGATCACTATTAAAGTTTGTAAAATATTAGTTATATTTAGAAACCAATAATCGTAAATTTTGATATCAACTAAACATTATTGTACAGCCAAATGATTTTCGATTTTTTTTAAATTTTCTGAACAATTTTAGATTCCATAACACCTACTTATGTATGTGCTGTGTTATATGTGAGAAATGATCGTTGGAAGGGTGTTCCATTCATTCTCCGGGCAGGGAAAGGTTAGTTTACATGTTGTTTGTGTATTTACACTTTTCATTTATTTATTCTTGATCGAGTTTGTTAGAAAAATATGTACTATCAAAATTCTCTAGCAATTTTCCAATCGATTTGTTTAAGTGGTGTAACATCTGGAAATAACAATGTAAGCCTCGTTGATTGAGGTCGGACACGTTTTAAAGATATATACACATTTACCTTGTACGCCAGCTTGTGATCTTATCTGCATTTATATGAAATAAATATGTAATGTAAGCTGCTTGTTTAATGGTCTATACATGTTTCTGTATGTTTTTAATTTGTACCTTTTTATTCTAATGGTGTAAATAATGATGCTAAATCCTGACTTCTTTTAATGATTACATACTTGTATTTAGTTTGCATTTGAACTATTATTGTAAATTATGTTCTTCAAAAATATATCATACAGTAACACTGGTTGACGATTCAAGGAAATCTACTTCCTGTTATATTTAATGATTATTTAGTAAAATGCATATGGATAGCGTCCTGTGGACTTGAAATACTGTTATCTATGTGCCATACTGAAAACCTAAGGATATTTTACGTACATTTTTGTTTACAAGTTTTAAGGTAGCTTTGATTATCAGATCTTCATTGACAATATGTTTATCTGTAAAAAACAAAATCCATTATGCCATATACATTTTAGTTTTCATAGAACTTTTATTTAGAATACGAAATACTCTGTTAAAACTCCAATCTTTTGTATTAATGAAACTTTTCGAGAAAACTTAAGACATATATGGCTACCAAAACTGTCTATTCAGTAATGCTATTTTGGTTATGGGATATGATCACAAAATAAAAGACAGAAAACTTTCAATGCTTTGCTTTTCAATATTAAACTTAAGAAATTTATTAATATGGTGAACAGTTCAATGTTTGAGACTATCAGACAGTGTGTGTCATCATCGTGAATTTCGATACGTTTTCCTGTATTTGAACAGCTAGATAATGATTTAATCTCAGCACAAGAGTCATGCCGTACTTCAGTCGACCGTCTTCTTAACAGAAATTTAATAAATATTATTAAATTTGGTAAATGATATGGAAATTCATCTTCTGTTAGTTTTGTACCGAGTACACACCTTTATTTCATTATTAAGATAGTGATTGTCTCATATTAGACGTTACTGAGTTTATTTCGGTCAATCAGTAGAAAAAAGATGAGAGAATTATCTTTTTTTATGCATGAGTCAGCATCCAAAACTCAGGAATTTAATGGGCAATATTGTTGGGTTTTCACCGTCGGTCATGGATAGAATTTTGGTTTACTGATATTCCATGGAAGTGTCATAATGTCTCTTAAATGATTCTTGTTTTTCAGACATATTCATTACTAGTATCATTATTTTCTGGGGAGCACATTATTTAATAAGAGGATAAGTATACTAAATTCACTTGATTTAAAAAAAGGTCTTTATGTTTTTTAGATTGTAATTTGTAAACGTTTTCTTTTGCCTTTACATCTGTTTTTTTTTCAAATTTCTGGTATGCAGCACTAAATGAACGTAAAGCAGAAGTCAGAGTTCAGTTTAAAGAACCTCATATTCATCTTTTCGGTTCAAAAGAAGGTCTACCACGTAATGAATTAGTTATACGTGTACAACCGGACGAAGCAGTTTATATTAAATTGAATGTGAAATCTCCTGGTATGAAATTTCAAACAGAAGAAACTGAATTAGACTTAACTTATGCTCAGCGATATAAAGTATAGTTTTCTTTTCTCTTCTATTAATGTATTATTAAATATTATCAGGCCATCAAACTACCCGACGCTTACGAACGATTGATTCTCGATGTATTCTGTGGAGTTCAGACAAATTTTGTACGTTCTGATGAACTACGCGAAGCTTGGCGTATTTTAACACCGGTATTAAAATACTTGGAAGAAAATAAAATCAGTCCATATCCATACATTTATGGGAGGTAATTGAAATATATTTTCCTTTTCATTGCACAAATTCTGGTCAGATTCACCTACTGTTTTGAAACTTTTATTAACAATTCATAAGTTGAACTGGCTATCTCAATGAAGTATGCATTAATGGGTTCAGTCTAGATTCATCAGAACACCATGCGTTTGTATTTATAACTTTGCTTATTGTAGAAGCATCGTGCTTAAAAACTAAAGCACTTTTTTGATTACTGAATCTAAAAGGATACTTCTATAACTATGTTTACAATAGTATATAGACAGTTAAATATCTGTCCATAAAGAATTGTAGATCCGTTTGTATAGATGGAATAGACCTGTCCTATCAGCTGTCAAGTGTTTATTTAAAAGACACCAACCATAGTTATTACATGTATCTATGTTTATTTTTTTAAAAAAAATTTCGAGATACTTTTTAAAATAGATGCTCACTCGGGCAATTAGATTAGTAATGTGTGCATAACAGCCAGAATAAGATATAAGCCTAAATCCACTGCCTATTAGTCTTGTTTATGTTAGAAAACGTCAGTTAACTTAATTACCATCCTTATCAACTCAACGGCTACGTATTCATAGTAATTCTAAAAAATTTTCAATTTTATAGAATGAATAAATAATGTACACTATTGAAAAAAACCGAAATCATGATTAAATATTTATCTATTACCTCGAGTTTTAGTTATCAGATTTAGATCAGTACTGAACTAAACCCAAGAACATCTTTAACAGAGTTGATATTGACATTATGTTCAGTGACTAAATCGATTGGAGTGTTATCGACAAATGAAATCGATTTTGATCAATGGTTTATACCATGTACTCACATCTGGAGAAAAAGTCAATTAGCTATATCTGTTGATTATAAAGGCTTAATTGTATGATACTGCAACTATGTGATCACATAGTAAGCTATTGATTAATTGATATTGAATATTACTTAGTTTAATTTATGCAAATCTGACTATAAGTAAATCATATAAAAAGTGATATATTCATATACTAAATTATTTCCGGGGTCATATTAAATTCATATAAGTAGTCTTCGTGTTTTGACTACGCGCCGTCGGATTTAAGGGTTTCGTATCAAGGATAAGTCATTTAAGCAGTCAACAGACATATCACTTATGTACCATCGGTTACGAAAGCCACGCAATATTGTTCGGCCTGCTTTACTGCATCATAAATCGGACTGAATCTAAAATTCCAACCACATCTATTACCAGCTAAGTAAAGTAGACTTGACACTTAGAATCTGATGAATAGTGCAGGACGATTTATAATTAAAAGAAAAGCAAGTACACATATGGAAATTATTCTTTATATTCGTAAACCAAATGTCCATTAAATTATTTCCATATTTCTATTTCAGTCGTAATGGCCCGAAAGAAGCAGATATTTTGTGTAAAAAAGCAGGTTTTCAATACTCTGGTACATATGTTTGGAAATCAGGTTAAAAAATATTCATTCCGTCAATTTGCGATAACTCAATCAATTATATAAAAGATCCACATGTTTTAACTTATTTGAATGCCTTAGTAATTATGAACAGAACATTCGACTAATTTGTTTCTTTACAGCCAATTTGCTTTAAGATTTTATTGTAATAGCACTTTTGTAATAATATTGTCACAACAAACCATATACAAATATATAAATCTGATTAATACATGTAACTCGAATACAATAGTAGTTGGTGTTGTTCGGTTAGTTTTATAATGCTTATTGTTTTGGCCCAATAAACAGCACTTTCAGTCATTATTGTATACCAGTGTTACTGTTTGACACCGCAACTTTTTCAACTTATAAACACTTTACACGAGAACAGTAAATTAGCGAAGTTAAAGTACTTTTACTAGTAATCTGTGGGTCCTTATTCTATCGGAATAATTCAAGTTTGCCTTGCATGACCGCATATTGAACATTTCCTACAGTACTTCAAATCATTAGAATTTAGGAACTAGGCAAAAAACAGGTATACATGTTTATTCATGTACACAGGATCAGTAAGAACCATATCACCTTGATGTTTTGAACTCAGGTTGTTTAACTCGAGAATGGAATACGCGGCTGATGAGTTGTCGAGGAGTGCCAACTCATTCTCCAAAGGTCACTGAAACAGATGAATAAGCTTTTCCATGAGTTCTAGACATTTAGCCGGGAGGAAACTGGTTGTTAGACTGTTTTTCTTCGGTTGAAGGGATACCATCTAGGTATGAAAGTGTTTGGTAATATAAGTTAATTAGTACTTCGGTCTGACTGGGCTATTTTCTCCTCAGTCACTTCAGTGAAGAGGAAACCTAAGTATCTCGTGATTTTATATTCCCTTGATATAGTAAATGCAACTGGTGACCCATGGATGTGTATATTAGTCTGCATATTCGTCAGTTGACAAAGTGGTTTTAAATAAAATTTCGTACGCCTGCGATTTATACATTTTTCTTTATCACCTTATGAGCGCTCAACAGAGCTATTATGATAATACTTGTTATGTTTGGTTCTTGGTGTATGACTTTATTACTTTTCCATGATTAAGTTCCTGTGATACAAGTTCATAAACTTGAACACGAGATTCATCGTCTTTACATTTGTTTCTCTGATGCAGAGAGGTTATGCTTTCATGCGTTCCTAATGCAGCGTACAAGAATCAAGAAAATAGCTTGTGCACAAAGCCGTTATTAAAACACTTAATAGAACAATGTGTCTATATTTATCTTATATACTGCTGCGGTAATTTAAAGTACTCATCGTTTAGTAGCTAGTAAACTACCATCTTCATACGTAACCAAAATGTCATGAAATTAACATGACTTTTTGTTGTTACTTAACCCAATGCACTTCAGCAGTGATTATGAGTTGACTTGCACTGCTGTTACATGTCCATTATATGATAACCGGTGATATAAGCTGGCTGTTAATGCATGTAATTGGAGCACAATTAAGACCTAGGGCTTAAAGATGCCACAGGCACTCAGAGATTGACGACGCCTCTACACGTAACATATTTGTACTCGAAGTAAACCACCCCAGTCAAATCAATTTGAAATGAAGAGGTTCGAATGTATATTTGGAAAGCTATCTATATGTCGAGAAGCGCTTGATCTAAGAGAGCCAGCAGTTATAGAGGAGGCGTACCCACGTGTGATCTGGAGTGAATGTGGGTTTATTTGCCACTATACGAGTTAACAAGGATATTCTCAGACCTAAATGGATGCTTCAGCTGTGGTATGAATTGTAAAAGACTGTAGAAATACTTGTTCGGTGCTAAACTTCATACCATGTCTGTTAAAAAGCTGTTAAAGTTTATTTATCACCCATCTAAGTGACTTCATTGAGCATCTGCTGCCATGGTCTAGAGATAGAACTCAGAGTTGAGTGCTTATGACCTCACCATTCAATAAAGAGTAGCTAAAGGCATATCGCATGCAGATTATTTATCACTTCTAACGTCTATCACGCACTGACCGTCTTAAAGCTGAATAATTAGGAGGATACCCTAATAATGTTGATTTTCTTATTGTACACTGTGTAATCCGCGGAGTTTGTGTTGCAACTGAGCTTTAGAAGGTTACCTCTAAGACGCTTATACTCTAGTGAGGCTGCTTAACAGAATAAACTTAAACTTCTCAAACGTCTTGTTTTCACTAGATCGTCTGTATTCAGCCTATTAGTATTTTTTATTCTCAGACCGCGACTTCATATAACATTATGTTGCTTGTAGTTCTCGAAAACGTTTGCAGGACTAGCTGGTTTACAGCATGTAAGATAGTGTGTAGTGCGCGTTTAAATCGATGTACGAATGGGCTTCCCTATTTACCTACTGTAAGTTGTTTTGTAGAGCTGATTCATCCAAAAGTTTGAAATGCCATAGTCTTTTTTGAGCACAGGCATGCTTAGAGAACTCCTAAAAAAGAAAATGATTGATAATTCTACTTACAACGATCTAAAACCACGTGGTTCACGTCTACCTCATATGTATGGCTTACCAAAAGTTCACAAACATGACGTTCCTCTTAGACCTATCTTATCAATGATCAACTCACCATATCATAAAGTCGCACGCTGGTTAGCAGAAAAACTAGAACCGGTTCGTCGTAGATTAGCAACATATACGTTAAGAGATTCATTCCAGTTTGCTGAAAGACTAAATCATACGAATGTTAACGACAAGTTCATGGTCTCTTTTGATGTAACATCCTTGTTCACCAATATACCACTTTTTGAAACTATTGATATAATTTGTCAGAATGAAGATCTCCTACCTTTACCAGCCCCAGAATTCAAAAAAACTACTAATATGTACAACAGATGTTCAATTCCAATTTAACAATCGATGGCGTAGCAATGGGTAGTCCACTAGGTCCAATTATGGCAGATATTTTTATGGGGTATCTTGAGAACACAATACTTAAACAGGCAATTAATGAAACAACGGAATACTCAAGATATGTGGACGACACATTTATTATCTGTAATAATAAACAACATGCAATCCGCCTGCTCAAACTCTTCAATAACGCTCATAATAACATACATTTTACTATGGAGCACGAACAGAACGATATGTTCCACTTTCTTGATGTTGCCATAAAACGCAGGGGAGACGGGACAGTTCAACGTTCAATTTATAGAAAAAGTAATTGGAATGGCCTCTACCTGAATTTCAATAGTTTTTGTCCAATTAGTTACAAGAAGGCGTTGGTCAAAACACTATTTTACAGGGCAGAAAAGATATGCACCACCGACAAACTGGAAGAAGAATTAATGAACGTAGAAAAATGCCTAAAAGACAACTTTTATCCACAAAAATTTATTGACAAATATAAAAGGCCCAAGGAAAAGAAGACGGAAATAACTATGGTCAATAAAAAACCAATATATATAAATCTTAACTTTAAGGGTGATGACGTCGCACGAATTATCAACAAGAGACTGAATACAGCGCTAGCCAGAACTTATCCGGCTGCTAAACTTTTAATTCTCTATAAAACAACATGTTCAATAACCCAATCAAAGATCGACAAGCAACCCTTTCATGTTACCGCCAACTGTATTTATAAATTTACGTGTACCTGCCAAAGCAGCTACATCGGCCGAACTGAAAGGAGAGCATATCTTAGATTCTTTGAACATGTTCCAAAAAGTCTTAGAACAAGGGAAAGAAAGACTCTGAACAGTGCGATCACCAAACATCTCCTTGATACAGGTCATCAGGTAGATACCTTACAATCCTTTAGGGTGATTAGTAAGCAGCCAAACTCCAGTCTTCTGAAGTTTGCTGAAGCCATTGCCATCAGGCGACAAAAACCTGACCTATGTATTCAAAAGGAGACGGTGGTTAATCTTTCCTTACCCTGGTGACAAATATTCCTTCACTGGACCTTAAAATTTTTTTTTCCTTTTTTTCCTCTTTTTTTCTGTTGCATTTATTACATCATTGATTCTAATTTATTTTTTCAACTATCTTTCAAATTAATAATCTTTCAACTGAACTCTAATCACTATATTCCTATCAATGTTTATTCATTATGTAATCAATTGTTTCTAACCCATTTTTGAACTGTTGTCACAATTAATGTTGTAGAATATTCTTTCCCATTAGGTATATATTTACAATATTCTGTAAGCAATTTAAATCCATTATGTAATTATGATTTTTAAATATCACAGGTTGTAAGCAGCTGACGAGAACCTACGAAATAAAATGAATTCATGCTATTCTGCTAGTCTTTTTTGAGTAAGATTTTTTTGTCCCGATTTGTGTGATATTTATAAGTATTATTATATTAATAAGAAATCTTAGGAATGACAGAATTAAGGCACAAATTAACGTATCGTATTTGGAATTTGAAATGAAAAACAACGGAATTATTAATTCATATCGACACCACATTCTGCTGATGAAATTAGAGGCTAAGAGGTCGAATTCTGGGGAGCCATAACTGAGAATCTGACAATTGGGAATTCCTCATTTGTAAATGTGCAGTCAAAATACGACGTTCACTGCTAGTATCTCCACTGAGTTACTATCTCCATGTATTTGAGTTATCGTAAATCTTCAATGAGGTTGAAGAACCGGGCTTCAATGGAGCTGTCACCCCCAATTCGCATGTGTCCCGTGTAAATGATTCTGATATGATTGAAGTCTCCCCGAATCAGGATGCAAGTGTAACCAAGACGAATGGGGCGAAATAATTTGTAGCGTGGTGTCGAGTCGCAGTTGACTATAAACACCAATACAAAGGAACGCGTGCCAGGATATCCATAAAATTCCCAGGGAGTGAAATACCACAAAGCAGTTAATGGACCAAATCGAGATATTTTCGTTGGCGATCTCGTGGTATTAAAAGAATACCGAGATCGTGCCAGGATAGAAGCTTGGTTACAGAGTGTAACCGAATTCGCGCGAGGTCACAATCAAAGTGTAAGAACAATGGATGCTTTTTAGGACAGTTGAAAAAAACACGTTAAAACAGTCGCTGGTACAATTGGCTATAATAATAATTGTTTTCAATAAACCAATCGTTTTCTCGTGATAAACGTGAGTCACTACAAATTCCTACAGCATATGATCGTCCTATACACTGTCAGCAGTAGCTTCTCTGAAAATGGTTCTAACTCAACGTCTCAAGGTTCTGGACAATCTTACAGAGTATAAAACAGATTCTATAAGATTAATGGACTCATATGTGTACATTTGGTGTGCCACCAAGCAAGACCTTAGGTACAGGGCAGTTTTTCGTTAATTCATATTTATTGAAGTTGTGGATCAAAGACATATTGGGTATTGCCAATTTCTAGTCTGTTATTCAAGAGGAGGACCATGTTTATAATGCTCTTTTCAGGTTTGTATTATTATCATTACCTGGTTAACGCAAATTATCCATTTTTCGGTAAACTCACAGAGTTCGTATAACGATTTCAGTTTGAAAAATGTGAGCCTCCATGCCACGTATGTCTTGACAAGTTTTATGTCAATATACAGGTAATCTACCTCAACAAAGTTTTCCGAGTGTTTAGTCTCTGTCCCTTCTACACTTTTACCTGCATTTGGCAGTCCGCAAGTTTTCTTCAGTACCTAATTCTTGAATAATGTTACCTGTCCAGATGCATGTGGGGCGTCCATGGTGAAGAAATTAAGTTTACTGAGAGACATTAACACCGCTGATATTATGAGGTTGATGAGCTTTAGCATATCCTTACAAGATTTGATGAGTGTTTTACCAAGACTAATGTTCTCGAAGACTCTCTTCTTAACATCGCTGGACGTCTTTTCTAACCGTTTCAGGACAATTTTGGGGTCGTTTACGATCTTTTATTTGACGTGTCAAGAAGATGGTAATGTTCAGTAAATCCTCAGCACCTATGTTGCATGAGTTACATGTCTAGTGACGGTCTGATATACTAAGTCTATTGTTGGCAGATTCGTGCAAAACTTTCCGACTGTAACAAAAAATCAACATTTATGAGATGGACAAAACAAATTAAAACGAGTAGTATAGAAGTTTGGCATATTTGAAGCATCTTTGATGTCAAAAGCCACCATGCTTCCATCGAGTAAGGATACAGGAAAATATTGAGCAATGAAAATTATGTTCGTAAAGCGCGCGTGCGATTCCGTTAGAAAAACTGTAGACACTGCTTCAGTGAGTCTATTTAAATTCATTTGTAACGAAGTAATCATTGTTCTCAAGACGTCATATCATCGATAATTTTATTGGTTGTCACGATTTAGTCACGTATAACATAAAGTGTCGCGTTACTAGTGTGACCTTTGGTGTAGGCCGTCACCTTCATGAGCTTACCACATATTATTAGGAGGTCGTAGTTCTGCAACATTCAAGTTGTAGTCGTTTGTAAGTTCGTTCGAATGTCTGCTACTAGTCGATTTCAATCAGAGAAACTTATCTTGAGACAGTTATTCATTGGTGATCCCCTCCTAATAGACATGGGAGCCTGTTAAGCGAAAGCTTCTATTCCGTCCACAACCTTTTGAAGTGATCTGACTAATTTTTATGCGCTACACAGTTTTGTTTATTTATCTGAATTTGCATAATATATATCCAGAGACGCACAAATATGCAAAATATTCTCTTTTACTTTTTATGATCAAATTAGGAGACGCCTGTCTTTCAAATTTCGTAATAATCTCACTAGTCAAGATTATTTCTTGCTATCTTGCGCCTTTCCTTTCTGAAAACACTCGCTATCTAATATACATCTCAATTCGCGTTTTGAGGAATAAGAACATCGTTGCCTTTTTAATCGGGGTTTTAACCTCGTATGCGAATAATACTAGTGTACTTTTTGGCGACGTGCAGACTATTCAAATGTCACTTAATCAGTAAGTAGCTAGCTTAAACGAAATGATATGTAGTTTGTAATATATACGGCTGCATATTTTGTTAGATGTGCTGTTTGTGGTTAATAATGTACTCTTCTCTTCAGAAGATCGAAGTACTTCTGTAAAGCCCTCTATATCTCGTACTATCCGAAGTATTTGGTGGTGAGCAATTTAAAATGGTCACAAAGGTTATGTACTGGGTGCCTATGTTATGCTTGTAGTAGTTTTAAACAATTAACCTGTGTATGCTAATAATTAGTGACTTATGTCAATTAGGGTTTTATTTAGTGACACCACTTTGTTGTTGTAGTCGTCTAGGCTGTGGTGTGCAATACATCAATCCAAGCAGTTTCTTCTGATTGTGTCAAATATGTCGTCTTCGAAGGATAGATAGCACCCAGTGGCAACACTATGTGCCCATGTATGGTGATGATGGTCCTCTATGGGCTGTTACTAGCTCTAATACTCTGGGAGATGCTCCGACAACTTGGACCAGCATGCTTATGTGCTGGATTATACGTGACATCTTACTATAGGGTTGTCATATAAAAAATCTGCATATGCGTCTCAGTAGACCCTTTCGCTTTTCTGTTATAAACTCCCTATTGCTAGTACAGTGTAAAGTGTGACAAGTTGGGCTGATGGAGAAGATTTGTAGCTCAGGTGGATGATTTTGGTGGGGTTTTGTTCTCTGAAGTTTGTGCTGATGATGTCGTTCAGAAGAACGATGAAAGCTCCACGAACAAACCATCCAGCTCAGAGAACAAAACCCCACCAAAAGTTGGGCTGATGCATAATTGATCAATTTCCCACTCTGTTAACAACTGACTACCCTTTAATAGTTTCATAGTTACCTTCATTGTGGAATATCTATATAAAACCTGTTCGTTCAACAAGTCCGGCATTGTTTCAAAGACCTGCTTCCTCTAAAGTAAGGGTTCCCACTTGCGTCTTTATGTTCGCCCATGACCGTACCGTAAGTTATGGTAATAAAAATTCAGTATGCCCTTGAGCCTTTTATTGCAACTATCCTTACAGTACTTTACATCCTATTTATCAGTGTTTCTTTCTCTTAAACTATACTCAGCCTAAAAACCTGTCTTTTGTTGTGTCGAAATTATGCCGAAAGTATTCAGACCATCGATAAAACAAATCAAGACACATATAAAAACGTACGTTTTTATTATTACGAAAGCAAGGCTTTTAATAGAAATGAAGTTGAAACTCAAGAAATCAGACCTAATCAGGTGTCCGACTCCAATCCGTCCAAGGAGTCATCACCCTGCACTATTACAAGTGAACCAAGGCCAAGGTAACAGAATCCGATAAGCTTTATTTTATCAGTTCACCACTTCCTTCACAGAATACGTGTGAAACTCCTAAAACAGCTACTCAGAGGTAACATTTTTGTAAATACATGTTTATTTTTAGATTGATGAACCCTGACTTAGATGTCCATGTTAATCCTGAAAGGCCTCACCAAGTATCCAAGGAAATAGAAAACCTATTTGTTTGTAAAAAAGTAGTTGTCTAATCTCTAATAATTGGTTTTCAAAATTTATAGCCTCGCAAAACTAAAGTCAAGACAACGGAAGTACTACCTCCTGTAGATCAACCTCTTGATCGAGCTTCTGTCACTCTTCGCTCCTTACTGCATTGGGTCCCCATAAATAAACCACCTCCGACGTAAGTCCTTTTTATACAATTACTACTAGAAAAGTTATCGACAGGAGCGTCTTAACTCCACTACCTGTTCACTAAGTGGGGACGTGGAAGCAAGTGATAATGACCTCAAATCAAATGACAATAATACTGAAACTCCTGATTTAAATGAAAATTCCCCAAAGTGTCCATCCAGTGATGTTTATTCGGACCCATTAGCTCCTCAACTACGAATCGATGCTAATGGAAATATTGTGTTGGATGAAACCAGTTTATTAGTTGAAAAACGAGAGAATTTCTATACAAAAACTTTACGGCATATTAGTGAAGAAACTGGCATACTCAGTGTTGACTATAGGAGTTTCCGACCTCCTCGTGATGGCCATGGAAGGAAATGGACAGAGCGTGAGACTACACGCTTCTACAGAGCATTGAGTACTATTGGGACTGATTTTTACGTGATGGAGAAAATGTTCCCTCGCCGGAAGCGGTCAGAACTTGTTGTAAGTTGTCCATCTCCATTGGGTTTTTTTCCACCAACTTTTGTTCCAGTTTTTCATTTATTTCCTAGTATTCTATCTCCGTGTTATTGTGTTTTTCGAAATTGTTTTCCGTTTTGTGATTATTGTGATAGATAATTGTTCATATATATATTAAACTTTTTAACAATAATTAACTTTGACAAGTACACTTTTGTGTTTGTCAGCCACATACGACATACAAGTTAACTCAGTTCTCCATGTCCTCAAGCTGTCACACTTCGAACCAGTACAGAAAAAGGTCAGTCAGTCCAATACAACATAAAACACGCTTCAATTTACCGCAGCCCATTTGCATAGCTAAATGAAATAGTCAAGGAAAATTCAAGAATGGTAGACGTTGTAACAATATTAGTGGTAATGTAAAAAATTGGACATCGAAGATGAGATTCGAAAAAGTATAAATTAATGAAATAGAAAAAAACTACAAAGAACCTAGAAATTTAGGACCGACAAGAGATAAAGAGTGAATAAAGCTAGACTATTGCCTAGATAATCAACCAACAATAGTATCAACGAGGGAGAATTTCAAGAATATAACTTAGAACGAAAGTGTGAGAAAACACTGAGACTCAAGATCCATAAGCACTTGCCCCACTACAACTACTTTCGAACTATATCGCTCTAGGTTTCTAACCCAATGGTCCTAACCAGGACGTTTTCGCCCCCTCCTGTTATTTCTCATTCCAACAATCGGTAACTTCAAGAACTTGTACCATTTTCTCACTTGTCAACACACAACATTCTCCCAATATGCTCCCATGTTAGTTGACATTACCTATCCAAGTAGGAAAAGGCATATTGCACGTTACAAATATCCCAGCCACTTCAGTTGAGTAGAGTCCAGAACTTTGTTAACCTAATTTACACTGTACTCTACGCTTTACTTGTGCATTGCTCACCTGCTAGCTTTTTCAAGTGGAACAATGCCTCAAAAATATTCTGGTCAAACACTCAACTATCCTACAAATCCAGTAAAATAATACAAAGTGAACCACTGCGCAGTGCAGTCACTCTTGGATAGATATTTAAATATCTCACTTATCCCATATAAGTTTTAAGTTGACAAAGTCGATTATATATCTTGTTTTTATGCCGACGTTTCGTTAGCCACTAAATCAGCAGGGGCAATCAGACTTAGGATAAATAAAGTGGTTAGTGCGCTTCATTTATCCACCCAGTGTGATCAGACTATATTTTGGATCAGACCAGTGCTTTACCTTATTCTAAAAGTTTTTTCGTTGTCCCTCAAGGCACTGGAAAGATTGTTCAGTCATCGGTTATTACCTATCTCATTCTTTGCTCTAATTATTATTATTATTATTTATTATTTGAACACATGAATATTGGTACAAGAGAGCACCAACATATATGCGCCACACAAAACAATGAGAATCCTAAGAGAAATAGAAAAAAAAGCTAAGGAGCGCAAAAAAAAGAGCAATAACGAAGAGATTGGTGTAAGGTAGTATGGTAGAAATGAGGGAACGGAAAGGTACAATCAGAATAAATCTTTCAGGTAAGGGAGACACAACCACTTTTTTATGAAGAAAGTAAAAGAAGGTTACAGCAGGATCGCCACTGGCTTCTATCCTGAGCCATATCTGGTAATGTCTCTAGCCACTGTGTCGTACCATCTCTCGAACCCAAGCCAAGGAGTCGTGAAGGACCAACACAAGCCAGCCCTTTACAGCTTTTTTTCATACCCCGACACCATGTCATGCACTGACCACCTCTCCGCTTTATCCAACCATTCCCAGAGTCGGCAAATAACGCACGACGTGGAATTCTCTGGAACGACATTCGGAGAACATGTCCAAGCCACCGAAGTCGGTGTTTCAAGATGGTGACACCGATTGCATTATCGTCTCTGTGCCCGAACACACGGTGCCGAACCTCTGCATTACTGACATGGTGTTGCCACTGAATGTCAGCAATCCTTCGGAGACAGCGATGATCGAACACAGAGAGTCGTCTAACGTCCTCAACTCGGAGAGACCAGGTTTCACAAGCATAGAGCAAAACTGCTCTCACCGACGCGTTGTAGATCCGACCTTTTACAGCCAGACTAACATCACGAAGGCGCCAAAGGTGGCCCAGATTGGCATAAGCCGCTCTGGCTTTCACTATACGTGCATTGATCTCATCACTCACACCCCCACCAGCACTTATGCAGCTATCCAGATACACGAACTTCTCAACTACGTCTATCTGCTCACCATCCAGGGTGAGTACAAGATTAGAATCCTGCCAGTCTTGTAGAAGTACTTTGCACTTCGAAGGTGCAAAGCACATACCACACCTACGGACACTGATTGCCAACTGATTAAGTGCGGATTGCATGCCTTGGGCATTATCGCACAGTAAGACAATATCGTCCGCATACTCAAGGTCGAGAAGTCTTTCTCCAGACAACAGATCCGCACCACCATTACTTACATTCATCAGAGCTGTTTCCAGAATGTCATCGATGGCAAAGTTGAAGAGGAATGGTGAGATTGGGCAACCCTGCCTAACCCCACTGCTCGAATGGAACAATGGAGAGAGGTGGTTGTATGCCCTCACTCTGCCTGAGGTGTTTTTATATAGGGCTTTCAGGATGTTAATAAACTTCTCAGGCACACCCTTCTTCAATAGACAATCCCAGAGAACAGTCCTATCCAACGAATCGAAGGGAGCCCTGATGTCAAGAAACACTACGATTGTTGGCCTTTGATAAGTATGGCGGTGTTCTAACATTTGGCGGAGGGTGAAGATATGATCAATACATCCTCGACCAGAACGAAACCCAGCCTGCTCCTCGCGAGTCAATCTTTCTCGGGTTTCGAACAACCTACGAAGTATGACGGAAGCCAATAGCTTGGACGCAATCGGAAGTAGACTTATCCCCCGATAGTTGTTACAGGAACGACGTGAACCCTTTTTAAAGTTAGGGACAACTATCGACTCATTCCATGACGTTGGTACACTCTCTAGTTCCCAAACCTTTGTAAACAACGTCGTCAATTCCTTAGTCAAAAAGTCACCACCATCTTTAAAAAGAGCCGGAGGTAAGTCATCTAGGCCAGGTGATTTGTAACGCTTCAAGAGTTGGAGTTCCTTGCGGACTTCCGCCTCGTTCGGTGGATCAGTCGTCACCGGCCATGGAGGGCAGGACAGTCTGACCGATGTTGCCGGAACAGCAGGCCAGTTGAACTGCCCTTCGAAGAATTCTGCCCATCGTCCAAGACGTCGATGGATGTTAGTGATTGGCATTCCATCATCCTCGCAGATTGTTTCACTCACACCAGACTTCTTGCTGCCAGTGGCTCGGATGAGTTAGAAGAGCTTCCGGTAGTTACCAGATGCAGCTGCTGCTTCCAGCTCATTAGTACGCTTCGACCACCAGGCTTCTCGGTCCTTACGCAAGCTTTGCCCAATTTCCTTACGTAACATCCTTCGTTTATGGTCAAACTCACGGTCACCCAGAGTAGACCGACGGGCTTCAATGAGTTGTAAGGAACCTGGAGAAACCCAGTGCTTAAAAGCGGGACGTTTCGCAAACCCACAACTGACTGTTCCCGCCATTTTCATGGCGTCATGCAATTGCAACCAATGCTCATCTATACTTTTCGGTGGAGTGGTAGCTAGCCTAGAGGCTAGCTCGGCTCGATACTTACTAGCAACAGAAGTTGCAACCAGCTTGCTAATATCAATCCGTTGATGGCGGTCACTTCGTTGTCCACTGAAAAGTAAGGCAAGATTGGCGCAGACCAAGGCATGGTCAGAGTCCAGATAGGTACTCCAAAAGGAGCGGCAGTCTTGTACACAACCACGCCAGCGGTAGCTGATCGCGATGTGATCAATCTGAGTCCAGGCTTGAGATGCAGAGGGAGGACGCCAGTTGGCACATCGGCGATGACTGTGCCGGAAGTTAGTGCTAGCCAGAAACAGGTTGTGGTCTGTGCACAGTTGCAGTAGACGGTCCCCGTTATCTGACCTGCGACCAACGAGTCCCCATCGGCCACCTAAACGACTCTCCTCTGTGCCCAGACGCCCGACCTGAGCATTCAAGTCTCCGGCTAGTACTACAATATCTGTCGAACGCACTTTCTGGAGAAGAACAGATAACTGGTGGTAAAACTCATCCTTGATTGCATCCGGGCTGCAATCTGTCGGGGCATAGGCGGAGATGACGAAAGACATCGTTTCTCACGCCGATTTCTTCTCACTTTGATGGAACTTTCTAATCTAACAGCACATAACCGACTGTTAATGGGGATCCAATCTACTAGTGCTGCCTCAGCTCTAGCGCTTAATGCGACACCAACGCCAGCAAGACCAACCAAAGATGCCACAGGGTCCCCGGATAAGCGCACGTAAAACAAGCTTTTTGAAGTGACAGATGAAGAGCGAATTTGTAGTACTTCCCCAGAGTCTTGAATACGGGTCTCGGATAGACAGCAGACATCGATATGAAGATTTTCCCAAGACATAGCCAGCTCTATCTGTTGTCCAACCTGCATAAGTGTGCGAACGTTGAAGACAGCCAGTTTGAATGGCACACGTGGTTTCAGAAAAACTGCTTCAGTACTCATATTCGGTAGTAACATACAATTTTCAACCGGACAGTGACTCGAGAACGTTTAGATACAGTCGAATTTCCACCAAAGACGAGCCGCTGTATAAGTATAAAAGTGGGTGAATAATGTGGAAAATAATAATAATAATAATAATAATAATAATAATAATAATAATAATAATAATAATAATGACAATAATAGTAATAATAATAGTATTAATAATGACAATAATTGTAATGATAATAATTTGAATCAATTGGTTGTTTTTCGAAGCGAGAAAAGTGATTTCCATAGACATAAAGAGTTCATCATTTGTGTGTGGGCTGTGATACTGCCCGGGTGCCCAAACCGAAGCAGGTGGTTATCTTAGGGGGCCACTCCCCGTGCCTTTGACCTAAAGGTCTAACCCACAAAGCAGTGGAGCATCGTAAGGAGATGCAATCCCATGGTAGCCGGTGACCAACGATTGGTTCATACGCCATTTGTTCCCGCAGGATACTGGAGCCCATGTGCACCATTGGTTTGTGATCCGGTTAAAGCGCCGGACATTCGTTTTTCGTCCTCTCATTTTCGTAAACAACACCCCCGCCACGACGAGGCAATGAGTAGGACTTCCCTGGCAGAGGCTGTATACGCGCGGCCGTATGCTCTAAATCAGTGGCAGAAGCAGTAGTTCTTAAATCATTCGTTTTGCGAAAACAATATATACTTATCGGTTGCCTAAATCCACGTGTAAGTAACTGAGTTAAAACCATTCACTAACCTAGCACTGAACTATAGCTGATCAGCAGTGGATCAAAACAGCGGATTGTTTTCAGTGTTTACTGAAGCAAATGAGGTCACTGAATATATCGAGATAGCAAACTACATTTCTTGTAATTGAATATTGCCCTTCATTTTTAAAGTCTTCGAAATACCACAGCTTCCACTTTCATTTTTTCTTTCGAAAGATATTGCTTATTATTGCTGTTCACTGCTTCAATTCATTTTTTTCAATATTATTGTGTACAGTAGTTTTTCTTGTCACACCAAAAGTTGTGGTAACTTTCTGAAACTTCAAGAATAGTGCGTCCAAACTATATTCTACAGCTTTTATAACTTCATGTTGATTTTATATCAAGCATTCAAAAGTTCCTCTTTTTTGAATCTACCTTTTTTCAAAGAGTAAATTTAAACGAGAAGAAAAACGCAACCCTTATCTGGTCAACCAAGCATTACGTAAGTTAAAATCATATCAGAAGTCATTTTCATGCTTACAGGAAACCGTCGTACTTACGATCTTATTAATCTGTTCCCGTCAAGTGATGAAGAAGAAAATGCGAGACCCGATAAATCTTCAAAAAGTAGTAGGAAAAAATGTAAGTTTACTTTTTGTCTCATTAAGACTGTTTATTCCACATATTGTTACTGAGTTTTTTCGGAAAGTAAGGCTACCATTTTGCCGTTTACTTCACGAACTGTTAGCTACACCACGTTATCATGGTGTAGGAATTAACGATTTAATCAAGATTTCTAATCACATGTAGGTTAGTTATTCACTATTTCAAAACTTTGTTTAGTTAGTAAGACAATTTCCATATACTTTCAAAAACAATCATGTATACTTTGAGGAAGTAAGACTTTACAGTTTACTTATGAATAACTTGTCTGCATGTGCTTATGACATTCGTATTGTTGATATGTATATATATATAGTCCCTGTTTCGAATAGCGTTCAAATGACTTTTGTGTGCCTAGATTTGACATTTAGTTTATTGACTGAGTATTCTATGTAACTCGGTTTAATTTCTTAATGTTTATTAGTTTTACTCCCATAGTTATGTTCTACGTGATTCGTGTTCTTAATTCGTCTAGGAGATATGTCTAATCTCATTTAAATAAATGCTACATTATAGTAAGATAGTAAAGTGTCACTTCTTAAACCTACTTTTCTTGTAATTCAACCTGTTTATCTTACATATCATTAAGGCAAATAAACGTTTGTGGCTTGTAATACATATGGTTTGGAATTAAAAGTGAGATTCTTCAGTCTTAATAACCGGACTCAGGTTTCCAACCTTGTGTTTGTATCTTACAAAAATCTCGTCTATTTTTTCGCAGCATATCATAAATTCGTTCTTATTTTCTTGAAAACCAAGTTTTCTCTGTGTGTGCAAAGTTGTTTGATTTTAACATAACAAAATGGACTACTATATTTTGTATATTTGTTCCGGTTATGTAAAAGATGAAATAAGTAGATGGTTTTAGTTCTAAGTTTCCAGCTTTTATATATGAACTGAATTTGCTAATTTCGGTTAAAATATAGTAACAAATCATTATCCTATCTGATTTTTTAAAACAAATAAAACTGGCTACAAAATAACCAATCACTATCCCTCCCGTTTATTTTTGTCAAAGATAATCTATTGGTCAGTTAATTCCACATGCTTAAAATAAGTATTATGTTCATATTTCTAATTTCTATCAATTTGTACATTTTTTTATATTCTCTTTCATTGTTTACGAAGACTCTATAGGCGTAAATTTACATGGTCTATAAAAAACTTTATAATAACGTGAATTACAAACTAATAATTTAATCACATCGTTTGATTTTTTATTTTTACAAAGGTTTATAATTTAGAGTCTCATTAGATCTGTTTAAGCGTTTTCAAAACTTTGATAAATATTTGTACATATTTCATAAAAATAGGTTACCAATCTGTGAACAGTCCTTTAAAAGTTAAATAATTTTGCTCGTAACCATTGATTTGCATTTTAGAACCCACCTCACATTCTTTGGTCTGTTCAACTTGGTAATACCACTAGCCTTCACGCAAAAGTTTTAGTTCGAAGCCGAATATAGGAGCTTGTATCTAGTTACGTAGTTTGCAAAGTCTGGTTAAGTGATTGATTCGTAATTTAAAGCAATTTTTGTTAGCCTCAATGAACTAGGTGAAACATTTTTCAATACTGATTAATAATTACTTATTAAACAAGAATAAACTTATTTCCAGTTTATGCCAACTAAAAGCATTCATGTCAGGTTCACTGAGTGTTTACATTGAAATCTAGAACATCAATCCTCAGTAAATTATGCCAGTTCTATGTAGAAATAAACATTATCAATATCACTCGATTCCATAAAATGTCTTTTGGAAAGTCTTTTCCAACAGTAATCTTGTAAAGTAGACAGTTTAACTACAAGTAAACTTATTGTTTCCCAGTTTCTATTGTTCACTTTTTCATTAACCTCTCTTAAAAATAAAACAGCTAGATGTGATCAAGACTCAATCGAATGTAACGAACAGTCATGTAATCAAAATCTTGATGCAACAAGTAAACCAAAATCGCGAAGAAAAAGCCTGCTTCGTAGAGATCCAGATTTTGAGCGTCACCTTTCAGAAACAATCGACTGCGTTTTATCTCAATTTACGAATTCCGATGCCGGCAACCGCAAGTGCCAGTTGACTCAACATACTGGTAGTGACCAGCAGTGTAAAAAAAATACTAATCACCGGTATGAGTTTAGGCATTCCTCGCGCAGTATCCCATCTTTACAACAAATGATTTCAATAAAGGAAGCAGAGCTTGCAGCGTCTGAAAAAGATAACCTTGAGACTGATATGGATTCTCCTCAAATTTCTACAACTTCAGAAAGCAACCCTGTAGATACCTCAAAAGAAAATGTTTCTAAACCTCCCAAGTCCTACTATCGCCCGAAAATTGATCTTTTCAACCTCAGTGAAACCATTTTGGGTGAATCATGATTTTTCTACTTCTGTATATTTGTGTACATAAAATATATTCCCAGTTGTTTGCTGCTTTTATATTGACTTTTTATAAGTCAGTGATAGTTATGTCTTGTCTAGGCTAGCTAGTTAGATTAGATGCCGACTTAAAAGCATATAAATACATTGGTTTTCTCTTATTAAACTTAGGCTTGAACATATGATAACGTACACTGGCGTATATGCTGTCATGAAATTACTAAAACACGTTATGATCAGTATTTTGAACATCTTCCAGCACTTTCTAGTGAGATTGCTAGAATTTCATCCGAAATATGTCAACATCCTGACTGTTTCATTTATTGTAAATGACTGGCGTTTCTAGAAGGAAACTATATCTACATCCCTGTGTTTATTTCTAATCATGTAGTGTTATATACTATTGATTTCTTTGCATCTTTGATTCGAAGTCAGGTACATTAAAAGAATGAAGCTTTTTGCTGCACGTAATACTCTAGGTGTTATGAGGTTTAAAATTGATATTAGCTTCTCATGGTGTAGATGCAGGTTTGTTTAGTCACTCATGTTTTCGTTTAACGTTGATCTGACCCCGTATATGTATTAGTTGGAAATATCTTCAGTTTCAAGTAACCCTAAGACTGCAGAACCAATAATTTCGTAGATCAGAATGGAGGTAAAAATCAGGAAATTTCCTAAGTCGAATAGGAAAATGCCGAAGATTGATTGATTTTTCATCTACAATGTTAACAAACAAGTCGACGATATACAAAGTCCATTGCACTAACCGCTCCATGAGCCACATTATTTCGAATCCAAAGGATGCTACATTGTGAGCGACCTTTGTACAAGTAACAAGTTGGAAATTATAGCCCTCTGTAAATCTGTGCGGTTATGGGGGTGTACATTGTCTAATGGTACAAAAGTGTTCAACAAAGAATAATAGTTCTAAAGATTTTCTATTCAAGTAATAAGTCCTCATTGGGATCAGTGCATTATAAGTATATTGCTCTGATATATTCAATCACAATTCTTACTAACTTTGATTATCGGCTTGGGTGGAATTCAGGACCCATATTTCGTCTTATTCGAAATATACTGACAACGATATAATACAATCTCTCAAACAGGTCAATGTTTATCAAAACTTGGTTCAGTGCATAATGCGTTGTGAGGCAATAGACATGTTTTTTAGAAATCATTTTGGAAATCCTCATTGAAATGTAGACTTATTCAGCTGACGATCCCAAAATGTTCTCACAGCAAGCCACAATTCTGTCTTACGGAGGATCACATATTTCAACGACCTTATAACATCTTGCAAAAACTCGGTAAGTGAAAAATAGGTTGGATGTAACCACCATTAAACATCACGTTTCATACAATTTAGGATAATCGACTTAGAAATATAATTCTTGTAGAGACATACACTTGAACTTTCACACCAGACGCATCGTAACTGAAAAAAAGTACCTCGTCAACACTCATGATTCTAAGAAAATAGGAAGAGCTTTATTTCAGAATGTCGAAATGAAGACAGAATAGGTAGTCTATAAATTAGCAATGGTACAAAGACCCTGAAAAATATTTTTTGGTTAAGCAAGTGATGTCTAAAGAAATCCGTTCGTATGTTTACGTATTTATCGATAAATTTACCAGGTTGTATTCGGCGTAGCAAAATAGTCTTAGGTGCTTCATTCGGGGTTTAGTAGTTCTGTTTGGCCCCTGATGCTAGTCAAAGACCCTGAAATATAGTTGCGTCCTTAAGTGATACTTTCTATAGGTATACGACGACATGCTATATTTCTGCATGGAAATCCGTTGCATTTGCACTAAGTGGTGATCCCTTTGTAGTTGGTTGCGCGCATGTTATGAGTTTCAAATATAATATAATATAATCACCTAGTTCTATCTGGCTTAAACTGTATTATTTCGAGAATTCTTAGTACATCAATCCGGACACTTCTAATTATCATAGTGGCATCGCAAAGGAGCCTGTGGTTGGACAGTTGGATATACATTCAAATTCCAAAGCTACCGAGGAAAGGAAGGTTTGAAATCTGGAGTATGATTAGGAGGAATATTAAGGATGATAAAATTGTGGCTCATTTCCTTACATTCATTTGATACGATGCCTATAGTGTACTAAATGTTCGTCATTTCACTTTCCTTACTCAAAGAACAACTAAATCACGCGAAATGTACAAACTTCGAATGTTGTGATTGGGCGAAATATCATAAGATGACTCGTCAGAATAACTAGAAGGTTAAAGTTTATCCTTGAATTTCAGAAACAAACCATCGAGTGTAATTTTGGTGTTCAACGTCATGTACTACTGCGTGATCGATTAATTGAAAGGATTAATGAGCTGAATCTGGAGATAGAATTTATAGAATTGCCGAAGTATTCTCTGAAATAATATAACGAAATAGAACTAATCCCAATAGCCCTAGAACGTCAACCAGACACAATGACGAACTCAAATTCGAACTACGCAGTATGAGGTTGTATTGTATTATTATGACAGACTTAGATATCACGTAAAATATTTGACTACAGCAAGTGCATCGTTTACTCATCACGCCCACGACACGTTAGTTTTTGGTCTACAATGTGGTCAAGGTTTATATTCAATTCTGTTGAATCTTCTTAATTGTTCGGAAACCTGACTGTTACATTCTTCGTCTATCTGAAATTCGGAATTATCTGTATAGTTGGGGTTGTTCAGAGAATGATCAGAATCAGAAATGTAGTAACCTACTTCATTGATACCCACTTGATCTACATGTCTGCTGTGAACTACATAGGTTCGAAATATGGGAGATTTAAAGAATTTATTCGGACCGTCATGAGCTGTTGAATATCCTGCATCACTATATTGAAGCAATAAATTGTCGATGCATTTTCCTAGATCTTCTAGATTACTAAATTCACTGATGTGGTTGCACTCATTAAAGTTAGGAGGAATCTTCTGCTAGACTGAAAATATGGGGCTGTAGATAGGTGATGGTATCCAATATCAACAAGCCAGTTGTTACCCTTTTTCTGTGAGATGGGTTCCGTTATCCGTTACTAATACTTCGGGTATACCCCCACGACGAAATATCTTGCTTACCGCCCTGTGAGCGAAGTTCCGACTAGAACTGTTCGTTAGTATCACTTCTGGCCATTTGAAACATGAATCAATAACAACCAAAGCATGAGTTTAAAGAATGGGCCACAGTAAACCATGTGAATACGTTGCTATGATCCATAAGATGCATGCCGAGATTCCAAGTAGGTTTGTTATATGATACCTTATGTAAACAAGCAGGACAGTTTTTGGACTCATATTGGTGTCAATATCAGGCCACCAAGACGTCTGACAAGTAAGTGACTTCACTTTCTCTGCTCACAGATGGGCTGAATTAATGTCGTCTAATACTGTAAATTTGGGTGCAAAGTGAGTGATTATACTACCATGAAAGCATTAAAAGACTTCAGGATGCAATGATATATCCCCTCCGATTTTATAGAACTCAAGAAACCTACGCTGATACTGAATATTCCAACCTCTTTTCACTGTACTTACGACGGTTAAAAAATATTCAGTTCCAGATTGGAAAGGAGAGGAGGCTAGGTGCCCTTTGTATGTCCTGGCAATGATAGTCTCTCAGTTCATGCAACTTAGTTTTGAAAATGTCGACAGATGGTGCTTCAACAACGTGTTGAGGTAATGAGTTCCACTCGTTGATGATTCAATGGAAAAGTTGATAGTCAGCTGACAAGTAATTTGTTCTAAGCTTGTGAAATTTTTTGGAGTGTCCTCGTAAATTCTCAATGTAGGATTATGGTCTACACCGTTATTAGTACAATTATAATAATAAACCTAATCCTAGAATTGTAGATATGTCATGGTGTGAGAAAAAACCTGACATTAAATTTTACGTGGAAGTCACATCATTGTCTATTCTGACTCGTCGTACGTAACAATTGGCGATATACAGTTTGGAATTTAGGCTTAAGATTGAATAATACACTTCATTTGAGTAAAGCCTAGTTATAAGTAGTGACCACATCTGCAAGGCTGAGCCATACACGTGTATCCTCAACAAGTTCTATTACATCAACAGGTAACCGCCGAACCATCATTTAATCACTTCCGGACTATGACTAGCGTAAAAGAAAATCTGCATGTGGTGTATAATGTGATCGATAGACGAACTCATCAATAATAAATTGAAACGCACAGCACAACATTAACTCTCTTTGACCATGTGCGACTGTATTCTTTATTAACCAATCACAGTTTGATGTTCGTTGTAAAACAATATTTGCTTTGTTGATTCATTTTTCCTATTCTCTGGCTACTGTTCGGTATGTTATTTGTCTCTGTTTTTCCCTGTATTAATAGACCGTACTGTTTGTTTGTACACTAACGATGTTAATTTATGTTTTAGAAACAGATAAAGTTTATCGAGCCAAATTGCTTACTTGTTCTGACTTTGGCTAAACCAAGACTCTGTATTCGACAGTCTAGAGATTAGCTTAGAGTTGAATCTGTAGGAAATCGCTTCCCACATGTGGTTTGTGCGACTACTAAGATCACAAGATATTACTACTGACAGCTTTATTCAATATTATATTCTTCGTACAACATAGAATTCTCAGCAAACGAATCATAACAAGTTTCGTACTTCTTAGTTGATCCTGACAATAAATACCGAATGTTAGCCAGTTATAAGTTAGCATTTCAGTAATCCACTTCTGAATAATTTATACTCTTTTCAGTTTCAGTTTGGAGAGGACAGGAGGCTTGATGGCCTGTGTTAGTCCTGGCAATGGCGGTCTCTCAGTTGATCCAACTTTCTTTTGAAAGAGTCGACGGATGGAGCCTCAACAACGTGCTGTAGTAATGAATTCCATTCGTTGACGATTCGATGGGAAAGTCGATAGTCAGCTGACAAGTAATTTGTTCTGGACTTGTGAGCCTTTTTGGAGTGTCCTCGTAAATTCTGTTTTGGAAGATAAGAAAAATGAG